GGTGACAATTGAATTTTATGGGGAATGGAAGCTTATGATCACTTCTCACAGGGGAACAAAACTTTCCAAGTACAAAGTGTGCTGCTGCTGGCTTGTTTTGTTCTGTCTTTGGCATGGTCGAGATCACCTTGCAGGGAGATGACTCGAAGCCTTTCACCCAGTTTCACCTGTTCCCTTGAACATCAGGATTTCTGGGCAGGGAGGGAGTTTGCTTCTTTGCCTGGAAACGCTTGCATATTGTTTGGTTGTGTAACAATTAATTAGTCCCCTTAAGTTGCCTTGCTAGGTGTTTTTAATAGGGATGCAATGAACTTTCCTAACTCCAAGTGCTTGGAAACCACTCTTTAACCTCGTGTTTTCACTTTTTTCAGCTTTTAACATATTTGCAAGGACAGGTTTGCCTATGATGTGGGTCCATTCAGATTGCCCACGTTTTAGGAACCTGGCAGTTTCCAATGGTGACTCTAACAGGGAAGGCAAATTCGAGGGCTTAATTGGACAGCCTTGCACCCCTTCTCAGATCTTTTGGTTCAGTGCTGTATGGCAGTGGGGGAGTAAAACTTGCCCCCATTTACAACTCCAGAAATACTCTTCAAAATTAGCATAAAGGCTGCTCCTGCTTTGTGTGAGATATCACTGCTAAAACTCATGAAAAAAGATACGGGTCAGAGATCTTAACTGAGGGTCCATAGACTGATTTTAGGGGATCTGTGAACTTGAATGGGAAAAAAAGTGGTTTCTTTATTTTCAATTTAATTGATTTCCTTTGTCATCCTCCATATTTTATGTTATGCATCTAAAAGTTTTACTCTGAGAAGGGGTCCGTAGGCTTCTCCAGAGGGTAGAAGGGGTCCGAGACACAAACAAGGCTAAAAACTAGTATAGTTTGATCATAAGCATTAGGGAGAGACTGCAGGATGTAGTGGCAAGGATATACCTGCATTTGAACCCTGACTCCCCTATCTCCTCCACTTATGTAACAATAGACAAGTCAAAACCTGCCAGAGCCTCCATTTCCTCATCTGTAAGACAGAGGTAACAGTTTTTGTAAGACCTATCTCACGAGGTTATTGTGAAGATCAAATGAAACCAGACATGCAAAGCAAATTGCAAACCTTACAGGGCCCCATAAATGTTAGTTACTGTTAATATCAGTGATACGAAGGCAAACTTCACAGGCTGGCTTAGAGGTAGACATAGGTTCCTGGAGTAGTTGTTGCTACTACTATAGTCTCTTCTTAATTTTCACTTTTCAAGTTTTTTTCTTTCCTTTTTATTTTCCTTTCCTCCCCTTTTTATTTTTTAAATTTTTTAAAATTTTTTCCAATTATATAGCATTTTTTTTCTCCATTCCACCTCCCCCCACTTCTTGAAGATACAGAGACCGAGACTGAGAGACAGAGAAATAGAAAAGTTGAGCAGTGTGGAGGAGTTCTTGTGCACCATCCATCCCCTTGCCCTATTACCCACTTTCGCTAATAGGGCTGTCTTCCCCTGATGGCATCAGACTATGAAAAATGACCTCTGGCTTTGGTCATTAACAGAATGTACCTTTCGGTCTTTTGACATGCATGATTCATTTTGAAATCGCTTAGGAAGCCCTTCCAACATGGAAGCCCTCTTGCAAATGGGGTCCTCTTGAATAAAATAGCAAACTCTGGTTCAGAAGTCCTTACTTTTTTTGTTTCTTGGACCCCTTTGACAGTGTGAAGTTCATGAACTTCTCAGAATAATTTTTTAAATGCATGAAATAAAATATGTGTGATTACAAAATAAACAAATTATATTGAAAGAGTTTTTATTTCCAAAAATATTTTTTTGAAAATTCTCAGGTTGAGAACCCCTGTTCTAGACCTTACACTCACTCCTCTTGAGGATTCTTTAGAATCGATCCATTTCCAGACACAGATGAGCATAGGAACCTGAGTAGAGAGAGGTAGCAGAGCCCTTCACAAAAGCCAAGTCCTCTTGGAAGTCTCAGCTGTGACGTGGAGCCGACCCTGGGTCGTAGAAGGCTCAGGCCATGGAGCACAAGCAGGTGCCATGAAGCTGTAGGTTTTGAGCATGGGCTCATAGTAATGATTTGGAGTCTGGGCAGACTCAACCTTCTCAGCTGGCCAGAGATGGATTTTTTCCATGCCATGAGTCTGGGAGAGGTTGGAATCTATGTCAGAGAAAGAAGCAGATTCTTAAAATCTGAAGTGTGTAGCCTAGTGAAAAGAACACTGATTTAGACAGACTTCAGAGTATGGATGCTTTATTTCTTGGGACCTCCTCCATTGTAAAATGAAGGGGATTGGACTAAATGATCATCTTTTCTGGTTCTAAATACTATCATTCTATGTATAATTGGCTTTAATGAATAAAGAAGGTGAAGAAAAATGCCCCATAGGTTTTTTAAAATTAATTTTTTTCAATTATCAAGCATTTCTTTCACCCCCACCCCACCACAGACTTCTTAAAAGCAGTGGAATTGAGAGCAAAAACTGAACTTAGTTCATAGGATCATAGATTTAAGGCAGGAAGAGACCCTAAATTCTGTCTGATCACATTCCCCATTTTATAGCTAAGGAAACCTCTTTGTATTGTGCAAAATAGAGGTAGAAGTGATAGAGGCATAATTTGAACCTAGCTCCTCTAATTCCAAAGCTAGGGTACAATTCCCACTGTTACACACTGCTTCTCTCTGTATATAATCTATATTGTCAGCTGAGCTGCAAAATGCCAGAATGACTTTCTTCAATTTGAAAACTTGATTTAAAAGAAAAAAGTGTGAGGAGAAAGAGAGAAAAGCCAGATTACTGCTGAGATGAGAAAATGTTGTTCTATCTCTTAGAGCAAATGCCTTAAGTACCACTTCTTTAAGTATATGTAATAATCTTTATCCTCAAAGGAGAAGTTTTATTTTTTTAATATAAATTTATTTATTTTTAGTTCTCAACAGTCACTCCCACAAGTTTTTGAATTCCAAATTTTCATCCCATCTCCCCCCTCCCCCCATCCCAAGATGGAGAAGAAGTTTTAAAGGGATGTCCACAAGATCTTTAAATACTTGAAAACTAAATCACATGTACCCTAATAAAATAAAACTAAGAAAAGCCTTAAAGTTGGAATAGTCTAAATTTTTCAACATTCCCCTGTAGACACTGAAATCCTCTCTGTATATTTTTAAAGTGTTCAAGCTAAAAGGGACACTAGAGCTTATCCAGGCTAACTTCCTCCCTTTACAAGTGAGGAAAGGGGGGGACAGCTAGGTGGCACAGTGGATAGAGCACCAGCCCTGAAGTCAGGAGGACCTGAGTTCAAATCCAGCCTCAGACACATAGCATTTACTAGCTGTGTAATCCTGGGCAAGTCACTTAACCCCAGTTGCCTCACCAAAAAATAAAAAAAAATGAGGAAAGGGACATATTAATGAAACTAATAACTCTTTATTTGACTTTATGTAGAGTGTAAATAAAGGCTGGGTTCCTCCTGAAAAGCTTCATTCTACTGTCCCCAAAAATTGGTTTAGGATTACAGTTTAATAACTTTAGAACTGAAAAGGGCCTCAGAGGTAATTTTGTCCAGCCTCCCTTTTTGGGGACGGGGAGGGAATAGGGGGATGGAAAGAAGCATTTATGAACCATAGTACCATAGTGTTAAGCTCTTAACAAATATCTCATTTTATCCTCACAACACTCCTATGAGGTGGATGCTATTTTTGTCCCCATTTTGTAGATGAGAAAACTGAAACGGAGGTTAAGCAACTTACCATGGTCACATAGGTACTAAGTGTCTGAGGTCACATTTGAACTCAGTTCTTCTGACTTTTTAAAGATGAGAAAATTGAAGCCTAGAGTGATTAAGTGACCTTCCCAAGGTTACACAGGTTGCAAACAGCAAGACTAGGATTTGAGCCCCCAGATTCAATGTTTTTTCCCCCACTCCATCAGTCCTAGAATGGGTTTACAGCCTCCTCCTACACCCCAGGTTGAGTTGAACCTTGTGTCTCATTGAACAAGAGTTGAAGGTACGGATCAGGCAATGTGACAGCTGCAAGTTATAGACAGACACACACATATCTAACATTAGGACTCAAAGATTTTTCTTGCAAGATAGTATGTATGTGAATGGGGAGGGTTTGTTACATTTTCAGATAACATGTAACTCTTCCCAGGCCATTCAGGAATCTCTGTACTGTTATTACCAGTAATTTGTGAATGTTTTATTCTACTAATTTAGGATATTTTGAGTCCCCCTATTACCCCCCTCCAAAAAAAAATGTAGAAGGAACTGAAATCAGTTGCTAATTTGAAATGTTGACTGTATACCCTTTTAGCATTAAAGAAGGGCTGGTTCTGTAAAAGATATAGGTAGAGAGACTAGTACATTATCTCCACAGTGTTCAGAAATTTTCAACCTTGTTATGGACAAGACTCACTCGTTGATAATCCTCAGTGCTAACAACAATGTAGTGCTTTAAGGTTTGCAAAGCACTTTCTATACGTTATCTCATTTAATCCTCACAACAGTGTGGTTAGGTACCATTATCCCCTAAAGATTCTAAGGCTCAGGGGGATTAGCCAACAAGGACCAATCTCACAATGATTTGCACCTAGCTCCCCCTAACTCTAAAGCCAGCCTGCTTACCACTTCCCCACCCTGCTGCCCTGCTGAATTGTGTCATTTGTTGGCCTTTGCTGGCAGGGCAAGGATTAGTTCGTGGAGGTGAGCAAAGTCCCTCTCTTTAGGATTGTTTTCTGTACCTAGTGGTTCTGGTGATCCATTTACTAGAGACCCCCAGTTTGGCTTCACTCTTCACAACTGAAACACCGTTAACTTCTGGGAGAAGTCAAACAACTTTAATGAATAAAGAGAATCTTTAGTTTCTTTCCTTGAAGCAAATATTTATTAAGCATCTTCTTTGAATAGGGCACTCAGGGGACTTCTTTGTTGGGATATATATTTTTTTCTCTTTTCTTCCCCACCCACCCCCTTCTCTTCTGTCTTTTTACCAGGGGACTGACGGTGCAAGGAGATCCACGATGCTTGACAGTGATGAGCCATTGTTGTTTTTCTATGATGATGTGACAACACTGTATGAAACCTTCCAGAGGGGTATACACGTGTCAAGTAAGCAGTTCTATTGAATTTGTGTGACAGATCTGTGTTGTCATGAAACTTGTAGTGATTAATAGAAAATCAGCCCTGGTCTCACCTTCATTTGCCTCCCAATCCCCATTTTACTTCTGCTTGGGCACCCAGCATGACGCATGCTGGGGTCCATACTGCCCGCTGACATCATGGTGGTAATGATGCTGGTATCCCCTCGCTTCTAGAGAAGTCCCTCTGATAGTAAGCTCCTATTTCATTTTGTTATCCGGTGAAATGAGATAACACATGTAAAGCAATTTGCAAGCCTCAAAGCAGTGTATAAATGTTAGCTGTTATTATTATTTGTTGTTGTTTCTCCCTGTACTTGAAGAGGATCAATGACATCACAATGGTAGGGTCAAGGTAGAGTGTGTCTGACTGTGGCTGATCAGACCAAAGTGAGCTCAGAAGGCTCCACCACAGGTCATGCACAGAAAATCCATTTGAACATTGGAGATGGCAATAATATCTTATTATAATTATATACTCTGATATATAATAATTGGTAATTAATAATTATCATATCATATACTGATTATAAAATATTAGTGTTTAATTTTTTTCTCCTCCCTCAAATAAAGTCTATTTGGGAGAGCAAAATCCATCTCATCTTTGAATCTCATGCTATACTTAATTGGGTTTTGAAGTCTTTTATAAGGTTTCTTGGTGTTCTAGTGTCTCTTTCCCTTCCTGTCCACTCAGTAGGGAGAAAATCTTGAGGCATACTATGTCAGTTTGTGCTTTTTATGTCCCACTTTCCATAAAAGAGCACCAAAAAATAATAATGAACATTTATTGTTTAGAAAGTACTTTCCCCACAATAACCCTGTGAGATAGGTGGTAAAAGTACTATTCCCAGTTTACAGTACAGATAATTGAGGCTTTGTAGGGAATTAATTGAGGTCTCCACCACAGCTAGTAAGTACTGCAGTTAGGATTCAAACTCAGGTCTCCAGGCTGCAGATTCAGGACTCTTTCCACCGTACCTTGAACCTAGATGGAGAGCCCAATGGAGAGGGAGGCTACGCAAAATATATCCCTCCCCCAAAGATATTATTTCCCTCCCCTTTTTTCCCTTTTTAAAAAGCATCATATTTCTGAATTTACCAAATATGATTTTTTGTGGTAGCAAGCCAAGTTGTTCACTTTTATGTTCCTGAGTATCTTGAAATCCGAATAGGGTGCTAAAAAATATAAGTATTGAATATTTTTCTTTTTTTTTCTTAAAATGTCTTCCTTTATACCTCCATATCAAAAAACAAGGCTATAAATGACTTTAGAAATTAGGAAATTTCTATTTCAAATCTTCTTTTTAAGAAGAGAGAATGATATAATTTGGATCTTCTCCTTGACTAGAAAAGTTTTGTTACCTTTGGGGGCTTAGGGTTCAGGATGTAAACTTTGGGGTCTGACATAGATCTGAATGCAAACATCCACTTAGATGTGAAAATGAAATTCTCATCTCCATTTTTATTTATGGACTTAGCACATGAGTAGCTCCATTACTAGAGAAAGTGAATTTCCAAAGATTGGGAGTATCATATTGCCCTAGGCCTGCTCTAAAGAAAAGCTTTTGGATTAAAATTATTCTTTACCCAGAGGTGGGAGTCTCTGAAACTATAAATAAAGGGCAGCAGACTGGATTCAGGCACTGTGTGTTCTAGCCATCTGTGCTAGTTCTCCTACCTGTGGGGTAAGGACACTTAACTCTGGATTTGATTGAGTAGAGTACTGAGGTACCATTGAAGCTCAGTTGTCTATGCTAAATAGAGGGGAGCATGGGTACAGATAACCATGCTTTCTTGTCACTAACTTTGCATCCTAATTATGCTTTTTATAGTCTTAACATGAAAATTAATTGACTCAGAGAAACTCACAATATTGTTTACTAGAGATAGATTGGACAACAGGATACATTTTTTAAGCACCTACTGTGTGCCAGGGACTATGCTAGCTGCTAGGAATACAAGGCAAACGTGAAAGCATTCCTGCCCTCAAGAAGCTCATGTTCTAAAATGTAACCTTGTGGGTATAGTGAGTCTGGAGTGTATTCTAGTTTCCTAGGCAGTCCTTCTGTATATGAAAAAAGGTCTCAGAATACTTGTTTTAAGGATAATAGACATCTGTATTCTCCCATCTCCATCTGTGTTTGTAAGAGGCATCCCTTCTGGCACATGCTAGTACTTTAATATAATGGGGAGATTTACTAATGAATAATAATTAAAGGTGCCATTCCTTCACCACCCCCTCCCTTCTCTTATCCAGATTAACATTTGTGAGAAAATTGTGAAGCAGAGGGATTGGAGATCATCTACACTAGCTCTGTTTTACAGATGAGGAAGCGGAGGCACAGAACAACTGAGTTTTCCAATATCTTCTCTCCTGTTGGTAACAGAGCCAAGGCTAGAATCCGGGTCTTTTGATTGCCAGCCCAGGGAATTTTTTATTATATATGCTAGTGTGCAGTCAAAGCTTCCTTGATGTTCTTGTGGACAAGACTAAGAAGGGCCTGGCAGACCTGTGGAGAGTTAGTATAACACAGGTAGTATTATCATTATTCAGGCCAACCCCCTCAGTCACTCAGTAAGTATTTATTAAGCACCTACTGTGTGCTAGATATGGGCTAAGTACAGGGGACACAGAGAAAGGAAAACAACAGTGTCTGCTCTCAAAAGGAAACCAAGGCCTAGGAGGCGTAGTGACTTACCCAAATTACTAAAAATCCCTTAGCGTATAGGGGCAGCTCTTGGTTAGTTATCTGAATGTGGAATACATGTCCAAAAAGAAAAAAAAGTTTTGAACTTTGACATTGCCCACTTCTGCAATGACTTTTTCAATCATCTGTGTATTGCAAGAGGATACAAATGAAATTTGTTAGCCTAATTGGCAAAAATCACTACCATTCCAAAATCAAGGAGAAATGGTTTTTGAATTATCTGTGTTACCACTCCCTTCTTTAGTGTGAATTTGTTACGAATTTACTTCTTGACAATGCCACCAGTCCCCAAAGCCAACTTAAACACGTTTCCTCTCTTACCACATCTAGAAAACACAACCTGAAAGACCCAAGGCTCCTTATCTTTGCCCCTGAGGGCCCACCTCCATTTCCTTACCCTTATTTCTTGTCTTTTTCTCCCTTCTATGACCAAGACTTTCTACTTCCTGTTAAGAACCTAAACTCTTGGCCAACAGGATTTGCCACTAATGCTTTTTCTCTCTTCAGGCTTTTATGAGCTTGAATAAATTATGAGACTAAAGAAATAACCTAACGTAACCTCTATCTTTTCTGAATTTGCACTGAAACACTGAACATGACTAAACCAGGCAGAGCTTAGGAATAATTTATCAGTTATTTGTTGTTGTTTCCTTAAAACAATGATGGAGCCCAGATCTAAACCAAACTGCCAGGCAATAATGCAAATCTAAGGATAATACTTTGTCTTAAAATGTCTTCCTTTTTTGAAATTATTTTTAGATAATGGCCCTTGTTTAGGCTCTCGGAAACCTGATCAACCATATGAATGGATGTCATATAAAGAGGTAAGATCTGTGTTTTCATACCTCATTTAACTTACGTACATGTCATTTAATCCTGGAATTTGTAGAATATTTGTAGAGCTGGAAGGAATTAGAGATCACCAATTCCCTTATTTTACAGATGGAAAAACTAAGATCTGTTGAGGTGAATGACGCATCCAGGCTTACATAGAGCAGGCTGATGACTGACTCAGGATGGGAGCCCAGGTCTCCTGACTGCAGGGCCAGAACATGTTTCCCAATTGTCCCCCTACCCTGTCCAGATTCCACTGCTCATATTTGAACCTAGAATGCTGTTGGTCCTGATCCAGTCTTGGGAAATAGCACAGATGCCTAAAGAAAGTGTTTAGAAGGTATAGGCTGGTGCCTGAACAGTGAGATTCTTCATGAATTTGGAAACAAAGGAAATATTGGCACTCTGCACAATTTTCCCCCCAGGGCACTCTGATTCATGGCTAGCCCTCCCCCACCCCACCCCCTTTAAATTGTTGTGTTATGAATGGCGGAGGGATGTAACTGAGCTACAAAAGCTTTACAGGGGGGTGGAGAAGTTTGTAGGGAGAATAGGGAGGGGTTGTTTGCCACAAATGTAGATCTTACTGCTTTTCCCCAGGCCAAATGGTGCCCTGGGAACAGCTAGAAATGTTGGCTTTGGGATGTTCTGTGCATAATAGTTGCAGAAAATTGGGCACTTCATCCCCAGGAAACCCAACTGCCTAAAAAAGTCTCCCTCCCAAATACCCCTGGGTATAGAAATAAGCAAATATCTGAGATTCAGGTTAAGTGGCCAGATGAATTTGAGAGCAGCCATGACAAGTTTTCTATTTGTGTTTGGCACAAGAGTCAGTGCCCTAGCCCTCTTAGTTTAGAGTGGTTTTACCAACAGAGTATCCTTGGCTAACCACTGGAGGGGAGAGGTTGGAGTGTGGGTCTGGTCTCTGGTTTTAGCCACTTAGGTGCCCAAGAGTTCTGTGATGTACTTGTCTTTCCTGCTTAGGCTTAAAAAAGTCCTTGTTTTCATCTCCATCCAGGAGTTTTGAAAGAATGCCTCCAAAGAGTTTTTATTTTAGAGTTTTCAACTTCTGTGGGAGGTGGTTGGATAGAGGTATGAATAGATCTGCAAAAAGCCCCTCATTTTTCTTAGGACCAAGTGTGGGAATGGGGCTAGGGAGATTCTCTTTAGCTGAACTAAAATAGAGAATATCTTTTCTTTGAACCCTTGTTTTTCATCACATCAAGAAAAACTGGTTTATTTAGTTTGATCATTCTGTCGACCAGAACTCTCTTAATTGTGGCATGATGAAGAATGCTGGATCTGGAGTAAAACATCCCAGCACCAGTGATTCTTAGCTAGATAAAAGCCTGGGAAAGTCATTTCAACTTCCCTGTACCTCAGTTTCCTCATCTGTAAAATAAGGTTGATACCTCTTGTGTACTACCTGCCTCACAGGATTGGCGCAGAAAAAGTGATTTGTAAACACTCAGAATGTGAGGTACAGTTTATACTTTTTTGTCATTATGTAAAAGCAACCTTATAACTTTGAGCCTAGGCCCTGCAGTATACTAAAGCACTTTCTGAATTGTCAAAGAAAATTTTAATAATTTATCTTTGGTGTCATATGTCATGGTGTTTAAATATGTCTTCTAGTTCTTCAAATATATATATATATCTATACATTAGGATCTACATACAGCATATATGTGTATATGGGAATGTATACAAATATACATACATAAGGGAAAAAATACTTTTTGCTGCCCAGCCTGTGTGCCAAGGAAATGTGTAAGGTTGCCAATAAACTATTCTTGTTGGCAGGTTAATAAAAATGTAAATATTGTGTAGCCCAGCAATACAGCATTAACATTTAATTATCCATTTTGGCAAAATGGAAAGGAGATCTTTGTCCTCCACTCATTACGGACTGCTGCCATGCCTTTTATACAGCTATTTGAAAAACCTCTACTCATTTGAAATCTGCAAACATGAGGTAAAAGCGTCAGTGACCAGTTCAATGCAGTTGGAAAGTAATACAGGGCCTGTATATCTTGGAAGGCATTTTTAAAAGGGCATCATGACTTTTTCATAGTTGAAATTGTCTGATTCTTGCTTCTACATAGATTGGGGAGCATAATCCCATGGTGTTTCATAGATCAGTATCTGACCTGCTGTTTTTCTTTAAACAAATTATCACAATCCCATGATATTTATCAAACTCTTTCATTTGCATAGAATCCATTTAGTACATACTGTATATGTTGTTATGTATATATGTGTGCACACATAAACATATATGTGCTATATGTTACATGTGTTATATGTATATGTATGCATATGGCTATAAATTACATATACACACATATATAGCTATAATCTGTGTATATATAATATGTATCATTATAATCTCTATAAAGCGATTTCATTTTCTAATGAGAACACTGCATTCTCTGATGATGTTAGATACCAAAGTATTCTGCATTGTTGGGACAAATGAGTTTTCTAAGTTCCTAGCTCACATATTACAGATTTGCTTTTGAAGAATATTTAAATTAGATGTAACTGTTTAAAAAAATAAACAGTTTGCTGGTCTTGGTAGCCCAGACCTGTAATCTCTGCTTCCCGAGAGGCTGGGGCTGGTGGATTGCTGGAGCTCAGGAGTTCTGAGCCGAAATCCTGAGTCTGGCACGAAATGGTGAGCCCCTGTGAGTGGCAGGGGGAAGAGAAGCAAGAATCAGTAGTGAATGGTGCCAGGCTTGCTAACAGGGGCTGCCCTGGCCGTGGTTAGAGAAGGAAGGCCAGTTAGGAGCAGGATCAGGCTTGGGGGTGGCCATTGCACTCCTAGCCTGCTTGAGATGGGGAGCCCCATCCTCAAAAATGAAACAAAACTAAGCTAAACAGAACAAATTAAAAAATGGAAATTGCAAATATTTCTGAGCCCCTCCCTTCTCCACAGTTATAAATATTAAAATCTTAACAGTAGTCTCTGGGATGATCAATTAATCCAGCCTTGTCAATATCTGCCCTCCTGTAGGCAGAATAAGAGTAGGATCCAGAGTGGAAGCCCCACTGAAGTCTGAGGGGCATCCAGGTTTGCCACCCCCCCACCCCACACTAGAGCTGTGGGGCTGTGGGCACATCTCTCAGAGCTTCAGTTTCCTCATCTGTGGTTAAAGTCGGTATTATGATGTCTATCCTCCCCACCTCACAAGGCGGTTGTACAGGAAGCACCTTCCAAAACTCATAGGGTTCTATAACAGGCAGGTTGTTATTAGGCTCAAGATAAGGCGAGGGGGTCTCCAGGCCAGGTTAGGAGGAGGCAGAAAGGCTTTGGAAGATAGAAGTGGTCCTAGGGTGCCTGGTCAGCAGGGTCTCAGCCTTCAGAAACCCAAGAAGGGAGAAGGAGTGGGGAAAAAAAGGGCCATTCAATTTAGCTGATGGCTTATTGAGGGCACAGTTTTATTAGAAAGTGAGAGAGGAGAGGAGATTGAAGGGAGAGAGAGGAGAGGAGAGGAGAGGAGAGGAGAGAGACAGAGAGAGAAATGCCTGAGGAAGTATCGTGTGGGTAGAGGCAGGGTTTGGGGTTTTGTTATTGTTACTTGTTTGTTTGGTTTTTTTTTTAAGATAAGCAAAGTATGAGACACCAGAGGATGTGAAGATAGTTGTTGGGAATGCAGCCAAGAGGGAAAGAGGGGAATAAGCATTTATTAAGCACCTACTATGTGCCAGGCATTGTGCTAAGCGCTTTACTGTTATCTCATTTGATCCTTACAGCAACCCTGAGAGGTAAGCCTTATCATTATCACCATTTTACAGTTGTGGAAACTGAGGCAAAGAGAGGTTAAGTGACTTGTCCAGAGTCCCATAGCTATTAAGTCTCCGGGTGAATTTGAATTCAGATCTTCCTGGGTCACCAGCTGCCTCTGTACCAGACTTGTTCCTGAGAGGCAGCTTGTTATAATGGATGGAGCTGGACACTTGGAGTCAGGAAGATCTGAGTTCCAGTTTAGGTCTTTCTGTGTTTTTGAATAATCAGGGGTTGGGGTGGGATGATTATATCTATAATAATGCCAAAAAAAAAATTGTACTCAGCAGTCCTGAATTTAAAACGTTTTTGCTCTTGCTTTAAAAGGTACATTGAAAGCAATGCTGTTTTTTCCTGTATTTGCCCCAAATCAAAAAAAACTTGGGCTGCTTTGTACAGTCAGTGTTGACACATGTGAAGGTGCCCCGTACTGAGGAAGCATGAAATACAGAAATGAAAACTGATGGGTAGGAGTGCAGATTGTTTTATAAGAGAATTCAGCATGAGTTCCTTTAATGAGGCGCTGCTCGGGGGTTTTCAAATGGGATTGAATTTACCCAATGCAAAAAACTGCCAATCAAGGCATACCTGCTTATGCATGTGTGTGTGATGGAGTGGTAAGAACTCCAGGTCTCGGTTCAAATGCTGGCCCCAAACCTGGCTGCAGTATCATAGGCAAGTGACTACCTCCCTAAGCTACAATTTCCTTATCTCTGTAAAGAGGTGACAGATGCTCCGCTTACCTTGTGGAATTGTTGTGAGAAACCCTCTGTGAAACCCTCGCCGTCTCAGCAGAAGTAACTGATCTCCTTCCATCCCCTGCGCCCTGGCTTTGTATCAAGGCTGGGCCACTTGCCAAGTAGGACTACATTTGTGTGATTGCCAGGTGCTTCCCATGGGATTCTTCTCCTGACTTTCCTTTTATTTCAGGTTGCAGACAAGGCCGAGTGTGTGGGCTCAGCACTGCTCCAGAAGGGCTACGAAGCATCGCCAGATCAGTATTTTGGCATCTTTGCTCAAAATAGGCCTGAGGTATTAATGATGCAGGGTGGACTGTTTGACTTCTTGGTCTCTAGGCTTTTGGTTTGCCTTGATTTTTGGTCATGCCTAGGGGTGAATAAGTATTAGAGTTCTCAGCTGCTTTCATGCACAATTATGCCTTGTGCTCTGCTTCTCACTGAGAGGCTGGTTTCATGTGAAGCCCTAGATTTCAAAGGGCACAAACAGATGTTCTCTTGGTGAGTGTCCTCCCTAATAATGGTGCCTGATTGCACGAATGTTATTAAAACCTCAGAACATATATTGGACAGAGAGGAAACTTCTTGTTTAAGGCCTTTAGATAAATAAATCTATCTATCTATCTATCTATCTATCTATCTATCTATATCTATATATAAAGTAACTTAGTAAATGAGCAGAAACCAAGATAAAAATTTTCCAGTGAAAATACTCATTTTTATTCTTGCAGCAGATATTTTTGTTCTAGTAAGATTGTAAAAGTTAAACACAAAAGAAAGTGCCTTAGGACTGGATAGCCTGTATTGACTTGCTGCTCACAGCATTTTATTATGTCCTTTCTACCAGAGAGTCACACAAGATGTCAATACAAACACAGAGCAGATCAATTAAACACAAATTACAAACATTTGTGATTTGACAGTGCAAAAGCAATCAGGTTATTCTGCCACTAAGTCGGTCATCAGAGGAGCCGTTCCTATTTAAGAAGTGGTGTCGCTGATCCATCTTAGCATCTTCGTAGTGTTCTCCTCGTAGTCACTTTGGACCATCTGGACTGGTTTGCTGTCACTTTAGCACGTCATCTGTCATGTACAAAAACAAAACACTTCAGGCAGAAATCTGTATTTCCTTCTTGGTTTTAAATATGGCACATTGTTCATATATGAGTAAAGAAAAAACATACTCTAAGTGAATGAGTTAGCCATCCTATCGAAGGACGATTTTATAATAAAGCAAAATTTAGAGCGGGTTGTTTGCTCGATAAGAGAACAGCAGCTACCTTTTTTCTCCTTTACAGTCACACTTGTTTAAGAGGTTAAGTTGTCTCTCTTATGTTACATTAAAATAGCATTGTCTGCAGAAATGCATTATGTTTCTGTCTTTGTGCAGTGAGCAAACAATATGTCGTACCCTGTATTGAACATTCAAGCAGTTCAGAATTTTGGGAAAGAGAGCTACAGACCAAAAGGTAGAGAGACACAGAAAGAGACACAGAGATGGGGGCGGGGTTGTGGAGAAGGGTCAGGGAACACCCAAGGAGAGTATAGATAATGTCCCAGAAATCTTAACGCCGTTCTAGTAGCTTTAAACTGCACTAAGACTTTGGGGACACCCTGTCTGTTTCTGCTTTTCCTAAACCAGAGTGGCAAGTGTTTTTCATCTCCCAGTTGGGCAGGCAGTGTTTCGGGCTAGTTCTCCATCTGAACTGGCTGGCTTTAATCTCCACACGACAGCTGTATTTGAGTTTGTAGACACATGTTCCCTCAGAGTTGTGCAGAGCCACGCGGCATAGTGATTCCGAAGAAGAAGATCCAAAAAGTGATTCTGGGGTGAGGTGAAAGGATAAGCTCACTGGGGTGTGAGCTAATCAGCGGTCTGAGAACTCCAGGTTGGTTGGTGAATGAATTTACTCCTTTGAATGTGCTTTGTGGAACTCCACGGAGTCTAGCCAGCCTGTGGGGGTGTTTTTTGTTATTGTTTTTCTCCAGGTTTTTTGAAACGGTGAAAGACTGCCCAGCATGTTGTATCTCTCTCTTCATGCCAGGGTGCCGCATTAGGTACTTCTTTAGGGCTACACACACCATTTGGGGGAACTTAGACTTCCTCTTCCTAGAGTAGAACAAACTTTGTTGTTCTTTTATTCCCAGGCATATCCAGGACTTTCTGTATTAGAATAAAACCTCATAATGTCCAAGAACAGCAGAAAGCACATTCTTATTCTTCAGGAGTCGCTCTGTGCTCATGCTTGCTTAGCCTTACATAGCCACCCTATAGCAGAGATCTTTTAGCTGTTTGCCTTTTTTTTTTTTTTTTGGCTTAGGCAGTCGGGGTTAAGTGATTTGCCCAGGGTCACACAGCTAGTATCATGTGTCTGAGGCCAGATTTGAACTCAGGTCCTCTTGACTCCAAGGCCGGAGCTCTATACACTATGCCATCTAGTTGTTCCCATTTGCCATTTTTTCTGGGTATAGAAGCTTCCCAGCATTCCCAAGTATACATCAGTAGACAGTGGGTATATAACTGAGTAAGTCTACATTTTTTTTTTTTTGCCCAGCCCATCCTTAGACTCTGTTGGAAAATAAATATATGTTCTCTGCTTAGGAAGTTTGTCCATCTGATGGAGGAGGATGAGACTAGTCCTCGAAACAACAATAAACTTCTAAAACAGTATTTATGGTGGGGCCTCGTTTCTCCCCATTCCCCATTTTCCTCTCCTAACATTTCTTCCTTGCCTACAACTGACTGATGAAATGAATGTCACAGGAAGAACGGTTCTTTCCAGCACTAACTGTGAAGGGGAGGAAAGGTGCTATTTTAGCTGCAAGAACAATAGAGGTTGGTAAGATATGGATGTTCCACATCCCGTCCTTGAGGGTAGATCATGCTGAGTTCTCCTTTTATCATCTTCTTAATTCAGTTCTTACTAACTTTCTTAAGTTTCTATGTATGATTAAAAAGACATGATAGATCTTGAGCTAACAAGCAAACAAAAAAAAACCCCTAAAACTTTGTTGGAGCCGGGAAAGTAGCTCCATGGATAGAGCGCTGGGCCTGGAGTCAGGAAGACCTGTGTTCAAATCTAGTTTCTAGCTGGGTAACCAGAGGCAGGTCATTTAACCACTGTCTGCTCTGTTTTCTCAGCTGTAAAATGGAGATAATACTAGCTTTCACCTCTGCCCAACAAAGTAGATGTATCTGAAACCCCCTCACTGGCCCCCTTGCCCAAGTTCCTTATTTCTGTGAACAATATTAACGTTTTCTTTCATCTTGACCCGAAGCCTTAGCGCCATCTTTGACTTCCCTCTGCCTGGCTTTTCACATCCAGTCATCAAATTCTGCTCGTTCTTACTTGACAATAACATTGTGTGTGCCTTCCCCCCTTGCACCTGGTGATTTCCCTTCTCTGAGCCTGCCTTCTCTCAGTCTTTTCCTTTAGCTTTCTTTTCTCCCTATCCTTCAAGAGCCAACTCAGGTGCCTTTTTCCTGTAAAACTTCTCAAGGCCACACTACCCCATAATAATCTCTCCTTCTTTATTATTGTTCCGTTGTTCAGTCACATCTGACTCTTTGTGATCCAGTGGATCATGGCATACCAGGCTCTTCTGTCCTCACTCTCTCAAAGTCTGTCCAAGCTCGTGTTTGTTGCTTCCATGACACTATCTATCCATCTTATCCTCTGCCGTCCCCCTCTCCTTTTGCTTTCAAACCTTTGCCAACATCAAAGTCTTTTCCAATTAGTCCTGTCTTAGCCCTTTATGTACTGTTTTCATAGAAGCTCAGAAAAGGCTCAGTTGAAAGAGACTTGAGAGGCCTTGTAGTCCAAAACCCATCTGAACAGGAATCCTTCATTAATTGGTTATCCTGCCTCTACTTAAATACTTCCAGGAAAGGGTACCCCTTCTCCATCCACTCTCAACTTCTAAAAACATTACTCTCTTGGATACCTCTAATTGCTAGGTAGTTTTTTTCTTATATCAAAATTACTTGTGCCTTTCTGCAGCTTCCGTTCTGAGCCTTCTTCCATAAGATTACTGTCTTCGGGTATTTGAAAGCCTCTTTTCTCCCCATCCCTGCCAAAGTCTTCCTTTTTCCAGGCTAAAAATCTCCAGTTTCTTCAAACCTGATAATGACATGAGCATGATCTCCAGACTTTTTCTTGCCTTCCTGTAATTGCTTTCTTCTAAACTTGCTTTCCCTTCTCAGTATTCATTGTAGAAGGTGGGGTCTAGAACTGAACACAGTACTGTAGATGTTGTCTGACCAGGGCATAGGCAGTAAGGACTGTCACTTCCTTTGTTCTGAATACCTTGTAGCCTAAGAGAGCATTTGGGTTGTTGTGTTTTTTTTTTCCTAGCTGTTATGTCACACAGAATCCTTATATTTAAGTTCACACATACACATACTCATATACATTTATGCCTTGTTTTCTTGACTGGACTGTAAGCCACCTGAAGGCAGGAAATACATTTTACAGTGTTTTGTCCTCTGTGCAGTTCTCAGTGTAGTGTCTGGCATATAACCTTGTTAGAGAGCTCTACATGTTTTTTGAGATGAACTTTAAGTACATGATGCTTCTATGACCTTTTTTTTTTGTTTTGCTTTGTTTTGTTTTCTCTTCCATCCTCCACCATATAGTGGGTGATTATCGAACAAGGTTGCTATGCATACTCAATGGTGGTGGTCCCTCTTTATGACACCCTTGGAAATGAAGCGATCACATACATAGTTAACAAAGGTAATTTGTTCATGTTTTTTCAACTGGATGTTGGCTTAGCAATTGGTGGTTCTTTTGAATATTTATCTTTCATTTAGTTTGGGGGTGGGTTTTTTTAATGGTCTTATCTAATCTGCTTAAAGTATAAAAGTGTCTAATGCTGCTTTAATATGTAGTGAATATATGGTATCTTGGTACTAAATAGTACTTGGGCCTTCAATACTGCCAAGTTTAATCTTAATTGTATCTTTTCTCTTGCAGCTGAACTGTCTTTGGTTTTTGTTGATAAGCCAGAGAAAACCAACCTCTTGTTAGAATCTGTAGAAAACAAGCTAACCCCGGGTCTTAAAACCATAATCGTCATGGATCCCTTTGACAGTGATCTTGTGGAACGAGGCAAGAAATGTGGGGTGGAAATAATGAGCATGAAAGCCTTGGAGGTAATTACACAGGATTGTTCTGCTGGCATGGGGAATCATAGCATGCAAGGGCTGGGAAAACTGGCCCACTTTTCAGATGAGGAAACTGATACTTAAAGAAATTAAATGACTTGCCAGAGATCACACAATTAGTTAGTAGGAGGTATAACTAGGATGTAGGTTCTCTAATTTCTAAATCCAATGATTTCCCCACTATATCACCCTGCTTTCTTCATGTGAATTTTTTACCAAGGGGTTAATTGGCTCCTTGGTCCAGATATCATAGCCCAAGAAAGGCAGGGTCATGGGTTTTAACCCTTGTGTATGCCAATTGGCTTCATCTTGTTCCATGACTATAGACAGTACTTCTAAGCTGGATTGGTCATTTTCCCCAGCCCAGTTATGTAACTAAGAAAGTATAAATCCTTCTCTGTCTCTGGGACAGACAACTTATATGTGTCCAACAGACTTAATACTAAAAGAAAACATGTTGTGATGAACACTGAAGTAGCCAAATATTTAAGTATAGAGGAGTACTTATTGTGGCCAAAGACCATGAGAAAAGTACCCGTGGTTTGTTGCTTGGAATCAGACTTCCTAAAGTAACTCGTGCCTTCTCGAATTGGAAATCTGAAATGTGTGCTTGAAAAGCAGCGTGGTATAGTGGATCCAGTACTGGGAGTGGAGTCAGATTGTTGTTGTTGAGTAGTGTACAACTCTTTGTGGCCCCATGGACCATAGCCTGCCAGGCCCTTCTGTCCTCCACTGTCTCCCAAAGTCCATTCAAGCTCATGTTCATTGTTTCCATGACCCTATCCATTTCACCCTCTGCCATCCTTTCTCTTTTTGCCTTCAGTCTTTCCCAACATCAGGGTAAAATGGGTTAATTTCTACTTCTGATGCTACATATGTGACCTTGAGAAAGTCAACCTCTCTAGGCCTCAGTTTTTTCAACTGTAAAGTGAGGGGGTTTGACTAGAGAGATCTCCTGGTCCCTTCCGGGTCTTAAATCTGGGGTCCAGTGAACTTGTAACTCTGGCTAAGTCAATTGACCCACCTGAGCTTCCATTTCCTTATGGAAGATGGAAATAATAGCAACTATGTCACAGCAGGGTTGTGAGAACTGAAGGGGATAAAAGCACTTAGCAAACCTGAAAGCATCATAAAAATGAGTTAAGAAATTCTTAGTCCGTGATATGGTCCACCCAGATAGTCACTTCCTAGATGTCTGAAAAGTGGGAAACTATTAGAATATTCTTTTTTTTTAGTGAGGCAGTTGGGGTTAAGTGACTTGCCCAGAGTCACACAGCTAGTGAGTGTCAAGTGTTTGGTCTGAGGCCGGATTTGAACTCAGGTCCTCCTGACTTCAGGGCTGGTGCTCTATCCACCGTGCCCCCTGGCTGCCTTATTTAGAATATTCTTATAGAAATATGTCTTCCTCAAAGTGATCTCCTGAGAGCTTCTCTCTTAAATATCATTTCTCTTTCTAAAGGTGGCTGGGCAGAAAGGGAAAGATTCACAGGCTTCTCATGAGTGTGAAAGCTAGAGGTAGTTGGATCTCTTCGGGCTGGGCCGACCCTTGAGTCTCTCTCTTGTAGGGCATCTATTTCTATTTATTTTTGCCTTTTTCACCAAACTTAATGTATCCATTGTATTACACTAGCCAGCAGGATGCGTGTGTGTATGTGTGTGTGTGTGTGTGTGTGTGTGTGTGTGTGTTGTGTGTGTGTGTGTGTGTGTGTTGCAGGCATGTCCTCCTGTGCAGACACACATTTTCAAAAAGGGTGTCTGCGTGTAAGTCATACCTCCTAGGCTGGAAAAAATTGTATCAAAGGACAGTAATGTCAAAAGAAATTTATATTTAAAATAGGCAGAACACTTAACCATCTTCAAATAATACGGTTTGTTTCCAACACCAAAGACCTTAGCACCTCTTATACAAGAACAGTGGAATCTGTTTGGAAAAGTGAAGCCTAGTGCTTAATTAGGTTCAGGCTTAGTTTCATCCTAATTATGATAGTTATTTGGTTCAGAAAATTATGCTTTGTTCATTGGAGAGTTAGCTGTTGAGTGAAGGATACCAAAGTGCCTGGTTGGCATTTCCCTAAGCATTTACAGTTCTTGTATCTGTGCCTTGTACTTAGCTCAGCTCTTGGCATGTAGCATCAAGACCAGACCAGATGGTAACTTAAATCCTGTTTTCCCCCTGTTCTCTGTTTTAGGACCTCGGAAGAGCTAACAGGAGGAAGCCAAAGGTATGTGTGTAAGGAAATCATCCCATCAGAGTATTGTTGTCCCCTCAGCACTGCCTCCTTTCTCTGGCATGAAAACATCCGAGTCGTCTCAGGACAGCAGTAGAGCCCTTAGCCTCCCTGGAATGTGTTATCCTTGACTGGCTTCTTCAGACTCGTACTAAACTTGTTCCTAACCATTTTAGCCTCCGTCGCCTGGTGACCTTGCTGTGATTTGTTTCACCAGTGGTACAACAGGTAAGTTTTGAAATGGGAGAGCCTTTGCATAGCAACTGGAAGGGTTGTGCTTCTTTCAGAGAAAGAAGCCCTTGTTACTGATTGCAGTAGGTAGATTGTGAAGGCTGCTTGGCCTGGTCCACAGTGTGCCTTCTCTGTGTTTTATAGAGAACTTTAAGCATCTAGTAGAGCAAAGACATCACACTCAAGTAAAAATGATGGCCACTAATCTGTACGTAAGGATCTCTGTGGACTGCGTGTTAACTTCATTTTAAAATTTTTATCTAGGTTTTACTGGTATTTTTTATTTCTTTTGTTAAATATTTGCCAAATACATCTCAATCTGGGAATGCAAGTGTGTGATAACCTCATTCAGTAGGGTCTCCAATAATTGGTGATAAATGCACCCATTCTCTAAGGCTGATGATGCCTTAGGTGATTTTGAGGGTAGGAATCTCTGGTTTTCCCTTATTGCTACCCACCATTCAAACTGGACCATTTGTGTAATGACAACAGTAAAGTTTACTCCACTTAACCACTGGATTTTGGCAGAGGGGCTGGCTGGTGCTGGGACACGATTTGACAGGTATTGAAGGACTTGAGTTATTGGACTTGTGTTTTCTAAACTGCTGTCAATCTTAAGAGGCATGTGAGGCATTCTTAAATGCCTTGTCATATAGCTGGGTGGCTCAGTAGTTGTCCCTGTAGTCAAGGATTCCTCTTCCTGAATTCAAATCCAGCTTCAGACACTTACTAGCTGTATGACCCTGGGCAAGTCACTTAACCTCAGTTTTCTCAACTGTAAAATGGGAGGTCATAACAATACTTCCCAGGGTTGTTGTGAGGATCAAATGAGATAACGTTTGCAGTTCCTGGTACGTAGTAGGTACCAAATAATTGCTAGCTATTATTGTTGTTGTTATCTTCCTTAGAATGTGTTCCATTAGCTTTAACTCTCTTCTTGCTCCCGCTGTGTTCTGTAGGCAATCCCAAAGGTGCATTGATCACTCATCAAAATGTAGTGAGCGACTGTTCAGCTTTTGTGAAAGTGACAGAGGTAACCTTTGGAAATGCTGGGATGGCTGTCTGTGTTAGTTGGCATTAAGCCACAAGAATTTAAGAAGTTAAGCCCATAAGTTCTTTGGTGATCCCTTTGGAAGGGTGGGCGATTTTTGAATTTTCATGAAGATGTGGGTGGAGCACACTCTCTAAAATGGTGATCTCATGACCCTGCATCCCAACTTCTGCCTGCCACTGTGGAGGCAGATTGGCCCGTAAAAGTTCTTGAAAACTTGGACAGTGAAACTGCATTTGGATGTTGCCCTAAAGATTTTGTTAAGAAAAAAAAGAGTGCAGAGGCTGGCCTAAATATGTCATCTGCTTGACTTATGACGTTTCAGCATCCCTTTGAGGATGCTGAATGATGCCAGGTGGGTAGGCTTGTTAATACTATTGGATCATCCCACCTTCCCAAGGTCTACCATCTTGTGAAGTGGCTAAAATTGGTCATCCCAGATGCTTTTAATGCTTGCCTGATATATTTGTTATCTCCTCACTCCCAGTGGGACTTATTTGATGATATAGTGTCAGAACAATCAACGTCATTTTTGTCCTGCAAAGCACATTCTCTTTGCCCACCTGGAGCCTTACATGTCTGACTTTTGCAATCCTCCTAAAATACTCAGTTGCCTTAATTTTTATGGCAGATTTTCACAGTTAGATCCAGGGAATGAAATCCTATTATTGAATAATGAGAGAACATGGATCCATTTGGGGTCTTTTTTTTTGTGGTCAGTTGGTGTTGTTCAGACTCTTCCCTCAATCCCCTACCCCAAAGTACTTTTTAAAAATGTGTTTAGCATCTTATTCAAGTGAAATTTTTACTTGTTATTCCTTCTGAGAAAAACTAAGGGAGGCGATATGTTCATGCAAGACTTTAGAAAATCAGTTATAAAAATGAAATGGAGTTTTCAAGTCTATAGAAACTTTAAATCAGACTGATAGAGAGTTCTTTCAGTTCTAAATCTGTGGGTACAGAGATAGTCCAAGTTGGACTCCTCCAAATGGTGACCTCCATCGCTATTGTCCTTTGGATTGGCAGGTGGTTGGGATGCAGGTTGGATTGGGTTGGGTTGGCGTATAGCTAAAGTCTAATAGGTAAGAAACTCCTTCTGTTACTAACAAGTTTGCCCAGGGTTGGTACTATGATTACTCTGTGACAGATTCCTGAGGGGGTGGGAGAGCAAAAATGGAAAGCAAAAGTAGGTATACCATTCTCATGTTAGCTCATCAACTGTGGTTGATGCTTATTTTGGCCAGAATGATATTACAGGTTTATCACTACCCTGTGCAAACGCCTCACCATGCCTTGCTTGCATTTAAAGTCCGACATAAACCCCGTAGGAGTTAAGCCTACACTTGGGCAGTAGGCGTTGGGGATGTTACTCAAAGGTGTGCAGGGTAGAGACTTTTACTGGGGGCAACAGGTCACTTTGTGTTGATCTGAAGTTTATTTGAAGCCAATGAAAGACGCAAAATGGGAGATGAAATATTGGTTTGAAAGGAAGAATGTTGATAAGACTCCAGCTACTGAAATCACTTTCAAGCTCCTGAGTTTCAGTATATTGGTGTTGGGTTCTTTTTCCTCTTTGTCATGTTATGCTATTGCTTGGATTGGAATGTGACTTCCGTCGTTCCTGACCGGAAGGTTGACACTGATCTTGCTGGGGAGGGAGGGAGCGGCAGCAAGCAGCCATGGGGTTGTAATTCTGAACAATTAGAGCACATAATCCCTTAATATCCTGTCTGGGGGAAAGGGGATGGGCAGAGCAGGGGGGAGGGAGGGGCGGGATTGTCCTAACTCTGACTGAACCGCCTTTTAGAAGAGAAATGGTACCCAAATATCCAATAACCCATGTAATACCATCCTTTGGCTAATACTGATTGCTTGTCAGCAATAAATACAAACGAAGGGAGCGATTCATAGTGATTAGAGAGCCAGCCTTGCCAGGAAGCCATTGGGTTCAGTCCCCTTTATGTCGTGTACTGGCTATGTGAGCCCAGCCAAGAGATGTCTCAGCGTCCCTAGGCAGCCCTCTAAGACTCTTTAAGCGGCTGATGCATCTACATTAGAAAAGAGATTTTTCCTCTCCAAGAGTTTCCCACGTACTGATGAAATCAAAGCCCAGAAGCCCCCAAATAGTGTGTCCTCTCCCTCAGTAAAGTTAAGGTAATATGTGCTTGGAAATATGGGGGTGGGCAATGAAGGGAAATCATAATGGTCTTGTGCTTCTCTGCCCCGCTGGTATTCTTTGCTTGCAGAGTGTGGTGGCTCCTTCTCCAGATGACATTTTGATATCTTTCTTGCCTCTTGCCCATATGTTTGAGAGAGTTGTGGAGGTAGGCACTGAGTTTATTTCAATTGCTTTTTTTTTGTTTTGTATGTTTGCTCAGTTATTGTCTTTTCACAGAAAGCAATTCCTTTGAACTCCAGTGACTCACACATTTCTTATTTACCACTCGCTCACATGTATGAGCAGTTAATGCTGGTAAGGAGATTGGGATCCAGTGTGGTATGGTATTGTAAATTAATGTCTTGCTTTGGTATCATGGACAGGACCCAGATTATGGAGAACAGTGTGGGTGCCACCCTTGTTTTTTCCCTATTACCAGGTGCAGAGTTCAACACATCTACCTTACTAGTTCACGGCCTCTCAATTTTTGGGTGTTTAAAAAGGAAATTTGATCTTTTGATCTGATTCTACCCACTCTTTTGACCCAGAAATTAAAGTCAATCAAAGTCAGTATAATTTTGTCCTTTTTTGGTTTCTGATAAGCCAAATTATTCAAGATTTGCCCTCATGTAGCATTTGAGGAAACCAGGTGGTAAATATGTAAAGTGAGTGTTGGACTTGAAATTAGGAAGACTTGAGTTCAGATTCTGCTTCAGGCACTTGCTAGCTATGTGACCCTGGGCAAGTCACTCATCTGTAAAGTGGAGATAATAATAAAACCCATTCCCCAGGGCTGTTGTGGGGATCAAATTAGATAACATGTATAAAGTACTTTACAGTACTTAAAAGTGTTAGATAAATGTTAGTTATTATTGGTCAAAATGTACAAATGGGCTTATTTTTATAACCACATTCTGGTTTTATTTGAGAAAGGGGAAAGTCCGTAAATAGATTTGGCAAGATTGCCTTGACATAATCGCATGGCTCAACCCAGTCATGGGTTGAATTGATTTCTCGGTTTCATTTTCAGTGTTACAAATCTGAGAGTAAGGAATCACATTAGATGCAGAGAGAAGTTAAGAGAATAGAGGAGAGCACTGCAGGTTTCAGTAACTACCCTGTCACTCTAGAGCAGTGTTTCTTTAAAGTGTAGTCCCTTCATGCTAAGGATCAGATTGGTCATTGGTAGCTGTCTTTAACCTGATTGCTAGCAAGTAGTAAAATGGGCCTGTTTTCTTAAAAAAAAAAATTTCTTTGGTGACCGTGTTTCAGACATGATGTACAATGGTTCTTAAAGGGTCATGCATGTGGAACTATAGAAGACACTTGGAAAATATTGTGTTGCTATTCAGTCATTTTTAGTCATCTTTGTGACCCCATTTGGGGCTTTCTTGGCAAAGATACTGGAGTGGTTTGTCATTTCCTCCTCCAGCTCATTATAGATGAAGAAACTGAGGCAAACAGGATTAAGTGACTTGCCCAGGGTCACACAGCTAGTCAGTGTCTGAGGGCAGATTTGAACTTGAGAAGATGAATCTTCCTGCTTCCAGGCGTGGCACTTTATCCACTGTGTCTCCTCACTGCCTGAAACAAACTATAGTGAATGAAAACCTGCTGAAATTTCTCTTCTGAATACAAATCGAGTTGTTCCTGAAGAGAGAAGTTAATTTAACTTGGGTGTATAGACTTAGTGAATGTAAGGGATAGATATGCAGTAGAATGTATCTCTACATGGCGAACACAACCTGCCCGAGACTCACTGAGGTTGAAAGCCTTTTAGAGATTTAAGGAAAAAAAAAGCTTATTATAGTAAAATAAATTCTAATAAACTTGAACTTTAGGTAATAGTTGAAATCATTAGGGTGAAGCAGTAGCATAGGGAGCTAAAATTTCCATTTGCTCCTCTCCACCCTCACAGTCTGTCATTTGAAGTATTGATCCTAACGAGGCCACACTTTTTCCCCCAAACTCTAGTCTGCAAAACATGAAAGCCACCTGGAACTGTACCAGAGGATAATGATAGCAAACATCACACAGCACCTCTCTCTTTACTTTCGTTTGAATGAAAATTAGTGTAAAAATGGTCACGCTGATGAGTCATAATAATTTTTGCAATTGTTTTTCAATATATATCTACATATATATTTTTCCCTTTCAAAGAAATCACATTTTTAGGAGTATGGATTACATATAGAACAATATGGAAGTATTTTTTAAAAATGTTTTGTTGAAGTTTTTTTGTCTTTACATCACAGTCATATCTTCCCCTGTTCTCCCTCCCCCCTCCCATTTGAACTCATGGCAAAAACAATTCAGCAGGGGCAGCTAGGTGGCTCGGTGGATAGAGTACTGGCCCTAAAGTCAGGAGGACCTGAGTTCAAATCTGGCCTCAGACACATAACACTTACTAGCTGTGTGACTCTGGGCAAGTCACTTAACCCAAATTGCTTCACATACAAAAAAAAAATCAGCAGAAACATCTGCTTCACGGACCATACCTGAAATAATATGCACTATTGTGTACTAGTAGACCCCTATTACTTTACCATGAAGGATGGTATCATTTTCTTACAACCTCCAAGGCAAGGTACAGCATCTTCAACTAAAACCAAAAAACAAACAAGTATCTCTTCTTCTAATAAATAAAACAAAATGTGTCCCAGTTCCAGTTCTTCTCTACCTTAAGGATTGTATTAATCCTAAAATATATCACCTAATATTAGGATAGCCCCAAAATTTTAACCAAAAATTCTTATCCAGGCATACCCTCATTTCGTAATATTTCAAACATGCACAGATTTCATGGGTGTGAGGATTCACTTCATCACTGAAGACCATAATTGCTTGTTGTCTATAGTAGATATTTTCATAAACTGTAGCTAAGAACATTCATCACCTAGTGGGTGCCCTCCTGATAATGAGCCTTTCTGGACTTAGCTAGGCCCAAAGTTGGACTCTAGAACACAGCCCATTGCCCACCTAGCCCCTAAAGCCACAACAGCTTCTAAGTCTTTGCCAGGTCCTGCAGAGTCCTTCAGAACTACCTACCACCATTTACACCACTCTGAGGTATCAAAGGACTTCAATGGATGTCAATATTTACAATATTAAACTAATGTTCTGACCCATGTTATAGAGGCCTCAGAGACCATCTTGTTTAAACCCCTCGTTTTATAGATGAGGAAACTGAGACCCAGAGAGATTGTCAGGGTTCTCAGGCTCTAGGGCAAGTGTTCCTTTCATTGTACAGATAGCTCATTTAAAAAACAAACAAACAAACAAACAACCTTACAATATATCAAGCTCCACAATAATTATGCCCTCCAGCCAGATGTAAAAAATTCTGTATTATTTCACCTATTTTTATATTTTTATGGCATAGCAGTGAGCAATCCTAGATGGGATGTGGCTGGGTTAGAGAATTTAAAGGTATTTGGAACTTGGTGGCCAAACTGAAACTGGGATGATCTCACCAGAAAGTCAGCCAGTTCCTGAATCCATGCCTTCCTATTCCTTCTCTCCAGTGTGTAATTCTCTGTCATGGAGCTAGAATTGGATTCTTCCAAGGAGATATCCGGTTACTTATGGATGACCTCAAGATGCTGCAGCCTACCATCTTCCCTGTGGTTCCAAGACTGCTGAACCGGATGTTTGACAGAGTAAGTTCAAGTGTATTCAGGGGATTTGGAATGGGGGAAACTTTAGCTCCAGGGAGGATGGAGTCTTTTGCATGGAATAGTGTTGAAATGCCCTGAAAGATGAGCATGGAAAAGCAAGAAGCATGTATTAAGTGCTTACTCTGTGCTAATCAGTGGGAATACATATGCCAGTAAAAAGGAAGATATTCCCTGCCCTCAGGGAGCTTACATCTTAATGAGAAAGACAGTGCGCAAAAGGGAGCCAAAAAAGAAGGGAAGGGGATTTAATGAAGGGTGTTCTGTTGAAGGCTGAAAAGCCAGGGGGCGAATGAAGGTTGGCCAGACTGGGCTGCCCCCCAAAATGGAGGCCCAAATACAGGAGGAACTCCCAATGGGAGAAGGTGGCTAACATGGTGGAGGAGGCATTCCAGGGGGAGGGAGGAGTCCTCAGGAGCCCAGGGATGTTCCAGGATGTGACAGCGGCTGAGGAGGCATGATAGCAAAGCCTGGAAAGTCAGAAGCAGAGCCACAGGGAGGAATGAAGATGGCAATCAGACGTGAACGGTGCCCGCAATAGCTTTAATAGCAGGGGAGGAATTATTGGCTGTATGTTCATTGTAAAACTCAACTTCAAATTAAAATGCTATACAAACCCTTTTCTATACGAGGGTGAGTCTTCAAGCCATTTTGTGGAGCAACCTGGTAACCATTACTGGACTTGTTAGATATTTGGACAGGCCAACACAACGATGAAACGGTGGATCCTGGACTTTGCTTCCAAGAGGAAAGAGGCAGAACTCCGAAGTGGCATAATTAGAAACAACAGCCTATGGGATAAAATTATTTTCCACAAAAATTCAGGTAATAACTGGACATGGAACAATTTCTCTTACGGCTTAAACTAGCCAGGGTCCAAATTTCTAAAGGGGCTTTTGAGGAGGAGGATAAAGAGGATGAGAGGGGTGTGTGTGTGTGTGTGTGTGTGTGTGTGTGTGTGTGTGTGTGTGGTTTTATTCCTTGGATATGTAAATTTTGAAATTCAGTCATTGGCATGGAGCTAGAAGGGACCTCAGAGCCCATCTTGTCTGGAGCTTCTTAAACTTTTCTTACTCAGGACCCCTTTTCACATTTTGGCAGCCTTTATTGGCATTGTGAGGCCTGAGGACATGCACCGTGCAAAATGCGCATACTGTGTGTTTAGAATCAAGGCTGTAATGAAGTTGCATTTTGCAGCACAGGCAAGTGCTTGCCAGAAACACCTGGGATTCATGACATGTTTGATTTTTAATTAATTTTTGGTCATTGCCTTTTCAGAAACCTTAAACGGTTGCCATATTTTTCACAACCCCATATGGGGTCACAATCCACAGTTTAAGAAATACTGAATTTGTCCAACTTCCTCATTTTACTGAGACCCAGGGAAAAGGAGTCACCTACCCAGGATCATATAGGTAGAAAGCATCAGAGGTGTTCCCTTAAACCCAAGTACTTTGATTCTACTGCTCTTTCCATGGTAACAGTAGCAGTAGTAGTACTAGTAATAGTAGTAGTAGTGTTTTCTTGACAAAGATACTCGAGTGTTTCACCATTTCCTTCTCCAGTTCATTTTATAGGTGGAGAAACTGAGGCAAACGGGGTTAAATGACTTGCCTAGGGTCACACAGCTAGTAAGTGTCTGAGACCAGATTTGAATTCAGGAAAATGAATCTTTCTGACTCCAGGCCCTGGCCACTGCACCACCTAATTGCCTCACAGGTTTTATAGGGTGTCCCCAAAATCTTAAAGCTTCACTAAGACTTTTGAGGCATCCTGTATTATACATAATCATTTTATAGATGAGGTTGAAATTCAACCAAACAATTATTTAGTGTCTGCCATGTGCCTGGCACCATGCTAGGCACAGGGGATACAGATACAAAATGAAAAACAACCCCTGCCTTTGAGGTTCTATTTCCAACATATAAAGAGTTTAAAGTATCTAGATAGGAATTGGTGCTGCAGGACTGAAGCTTGGGAGAGAGGTTAGGGCTGGATATATGGAACTGGAGATCATTGCCATAGCAATGATCATTGAGCCCTTGGGGGCTGATGAGATGACCAGAGGTACAGAAAAAGGAAGAAAGAGGCCACAGACCAGCCTGCCTGGGAGGTGGGCTGGGGACGGCAATCCAGCAAAGAAGACTGAGGAGGAGTGGTCAGTCAGGCAGGAGGGAGGAGAACCAGAAGACAGCAGCATTTCAAAAACCCAGGGGAGAAGGTGTGTCCCCTGGTCCCACACACAGAGCTCGCTAGTTAGGAGAGGTGTCATCATTTGAATCCTGACTCTGGGCCCAGCGTTCATTCTCCGTGGCCTTCTGGATTGTCTGACATCTGTGACATCTGTCACAGTAGTCTAAGCACAAGTTTGCCTTCGGAGAACAGAATTGGAGCTGTGGACGGGGCACTGGTTCAGAAGAGGCTTAAGTGCATTAGAAAAATTCCTAACAGTGCTCAGAGATAAAATGCAGGTAGCATAAATTCTCAGATGGTCACCCAACATCCTTTTTCTTTTTTCCTTCTCTACCCCTTTAAGGCAAGTCTTGGAGGGAAAGTAAGGTTAATGGTCACTGGAGCGGCTCCTGTATCACCAACTGTCCTGACTTTTCTGAGAGCAGCACTTGGATGTCAGGTACGTTGTTGAATGCGTGTGTGTGTTTTGTTCCTTGCTTGGTGGGTAGCATTTTATTTGAAGGTTTTGTGGCTGGAAGAAAAGAAAAATATTACAGCAAACGTGGGGAAGGGTTATGCATGTTGTCATTCCTAAGGGTCCAGTCTTTGTATCTTTCGTATGCACATGCCATTCTCCACCTTGGTTAGTGGCACTCACTCTTTAGGCACAGTTGGGCTTAGCGTGGTCTTGACCCGTGGAACAGAAAACCCCTATGTGCCCTTTCCCGCAGAAGCGTGTCTCTGTGCCCTCCTCTCCTTGGTACACCATTTATGAATGGGACATTCACATCTGCCATCCTGACCATTGAAAGTCTTTGTTGTTTGTTCAGTAGCAGGGATTGTTGTACTTTGAAGTAAGGGAGTTGTCTTTGTCTTTCATAATAATAATGATAGCTGGCACATATAATACTTTGAGATTTACAAAATACTTTTTAATGTGTTATCTTATTTGATCCTCACAACAAGCCTGTGAAGCAGCTGATAATCTTATCCCCATTTTACAGATGACAAAATTGAGGCATTAAAGAGGTGCAGTAACTTGCCCAGTGTCTAACAGCTAGTAAATGACTGAGGTAGGATTTAAACTCAGGATTTCCTGATTCTGAGTGTAGCACTCCCTCTGCTCCAGCACCTGATTGCCCATCCGGTACTCAAAAGGCCTGGCCCACCTTTTCATGGAGCCTGCATGGCTGGGACTGGTCTCCACAGGTGACCAGGAGAGAATTTCCTAGTGTTCACCTCAGAGATCCATGGGAAAATCGTGAGGTGCCACCATTTCTCGTAGATAGGTGCAACTCTCATTTCTTTACCAAGAAACCTTAAGTTTTTGTGTGATCTGGACTCCCTGGAAACCATTTCTTTCTTTGATGTCTAAATCTTCAGATTTCTTTGTTGAGGGACCCTTTTTTGGGACTCTTTGTCACAACATGTATGAGTCTTCCACTCAGATGGATGTGAACTCTGAAGCTAATAGAAACGTTGCTTAAGAGCTAGGTCGGGTTAGGGTTATTTGTATCAAAATTGAGATTTGAACCCAGGTCCTTTGAGTCCAGAGGCAGTGATCTTTGTTCTTAATTACAATGATTAGCTGTATGTATATATGTTTATACATATGGGTATATCTATATGTGTATATATCAATAGACAGATAGATGGATGAATGCTGTATTTTGTCATGGAGTATTCTGTGGGGTAACCCAAACAGAATTCATATGTGAGGAATGGCCCTATTTCATACAGACTGTTAAGCTATGGAATTGATCTTGCCACAGTGAGCAGAACCACTTAGTATAAATAGTTCAAGGTTGTGGGCATTCGTTAGACTTCCTAGAAGAGGCTTTCCTTCTCAAAGGAATACGTTGCAAATATTTGTGCTTTTAAAAAAAATGAAAGAAAGAAAGGAAAAATGTTTTATTCAACTTTTTGTTTTTGTTGAGATTGCTATTAAGTTTAGAATAAAAGTGAAACAAAAGTAAATAAAATTAAGTTAAACAAAGTTGTAAATAGTTTGAGGTTTATAGTTCATGGAAAAGGGGAAATATAAATTTTACAAAACAATAATTTCTTAATGATGTGTCCCTTCTAGTCTCTCTTTCATATATAAACTTGTATTGTGTTGTTTTTAATGTCATATCCCATATATAGAAATATATGAAGACATTAGGCCATAGTTGTATAGCTAGAAGAAGGAATTTTAGACTCCATCTAGTTCTGTCTCTTCATTTTACAGATGAGTAAACTGAGGCCCTTAGTGCTTCCCCTCCCAGATCGTCCTTATCATCATTGTCTTCTTCTTCTTCCTCCTCTTTTTCCTCTTCACCATTCTTTGCCTCATTTCTTATCAGGCCTTATTCACTGAATAGGCATCAAGACCTTAGCTTGAAAAGGCCAAGGTCTCCCACTGCATCCAGGGCCATCTCCTGTCATCCTGATCTATATCTTGCCACTGGGCCCAGATGGCTCTGGAGGAGAAAGTGAGGCTGGTGACTTTAATAGCCCTGCCTCACTTAAATCCAGTTCACTTGCATGTCATGGCATCACCTCCCTGATGTCATGGTCCTCTTCCAGAACGAAGGACAAAGAGCAGCAACCTCAGCAGCAGCAAACTGAGGCCCAGGCAGTTGCTAAAGTGCTTCAAAGACCCACAGGTGCACTGGTGTGGGTCCTCCCTTTGCCATGTGATAAACATATACCTCACTCATTTTATTCAGCTCTTCCCCAGTTGTTGCACAGAAGCTTCCAGTGTGTTGTTAATACAGATTAAGGCCTAATAAACGTTTTTGTACAGCCAGGACCTTTTTCCTCTTAATATCCTCAGAATGTAGTCCCAGTAGTGAGACAGTTGATCAAAGGATATTTTCATTTTTGTTATTCTTCTTTGATAATTGCCATATTGTTCTCAGAAAAAAAATTAGCGCCTACTCTGCTCTAGAAATGGCGTTAGATGTTAGTTTTGCACTTGTTTTCTCGGTGTTCATTTTTTTTAAAAAAAGATTTGAAGGTATGTAAAATATCAGCTTTATTTCAATAATTATTAACCATAAATGGCTAATTTAAAATTTACACAATGAAATATCAAATTATTTAAATGATGTTTCCTTGTGACTGCTACTTCGTTTAACATATTGACACTATCTCACTGTTTATTCTGATGGGCATATAGAACAAACCTGAGCAGCAGATCAACTTGTCAGAAGTTATTACTGTAATGTATTTTAGAACTCGAGTTGTTGTTTAAATAGACAAAAGTATAATTCAATATAGCTGATTAGCTAGGGAAAACATGGAGCCTTAATAGCACATGGCATGCGTTCTTTTGTAGAAATTCTCGTGTCTTTAATCTTATTTTAGAAAAATTAACACAATCAAATTTCTCAATTTAAAGCAAGGATTATTAACCTAGGGTCTATTAATAAAAAAAAATTTTGATAATTACTTCAATATAACTGGTTTCCACAAAATCCTATTCATTTTATGCATTTAAAAACATTTCTAAAATGAGATCTAAAGACTTCATCACAATAACAAAGGAATCTATGATGCAAAAATGGTTAAAAATTCCATTCAATAGCATTGTCTTTGTTATTTTTTCAAGTGTTTGCTTTGTATAGTATTTCAGAGCCAGTTACTTTATACTGGCCAATACTTTATAGCCAACATTTCTAAACTTTTTTTTGCTCCTGACTTAACTCTGGTAATGATTAAGCAAGACTGGCAGCCTTGGGAAACTCAGCAGGGTCAGGAAATTATTCTGTGATGGTGTGATGCAGGGCTTCTTAACCTTTTCTTTGTCTTGGACCCCTCTGGCAGCTTAGCTATGCCTATGGACCCCTTTGCAGTTCTTTTTTTTTTCTTCTTTTTCCCTTTTCTTTTTTCTTTTAGCTAGGCAATTGGGGTTAAGTGACTTGCCCAGGGTCACACAGCTAGTAAGTGTTAGGTGTCTGAGGCCGGATTTGAACTCAGGTTCTCTATCCATTGTGCCACCTAGCTGCCCCCTACGGTCCCCTTTGCAGAAGAATGTTTTTAAAGGCCTAAAATAAAGTCCATAGGGTATACACTTACCAAAATGTACATTTTTTTAAAGTTCACAAACCCCAGTTGAAGAACTAATGAGTTGTTAGCAGGTTTGACTCGATGGGTAGATCAGAGGAATGTCATAGGCATATATGTCTATCTATAATGGGGTAGGCAGAAGCCAGGCCTTAATTAAGGGCACACTGAAGAATGACTTTTGGCATCCTCATTATGCTGAATTAATCAGTCTCTGCCACAGCCATCAGAACTGGCCTTGAGGAAACACCAGGGTGACATAGTCTAAAGCAGTCGTTCTCAAAAGAACCAGCCATTCATGACTCTCTTCCTGCAAATCACAAAATTGCTTGTCATACAGCTGGTTTTCTGTCTTGTGTGAAAGGCAGCCATGATAGCTGCCCTCCTACAGATAGGAAGAATAAAAACACGTGTCATTGGCTAATTGATTGAGCAGATTGTGCCTTGCCCCCTTTTTTATATAATCTCATCAAGCACTTTTTTTTTTAAGTCCATGAATCTGAGAATCCGGGAAAGGGTGTTTGACCTGTCCATTTCTCCTCCCAATATGTCCCTGGCAGGTCTGCCTATCTCTTCTTTCCTCTCTCGGATCCTAAATCGGCTTATGTTAAAGTCTTTAATTGAGGTACCTGTTTGATAACAAGAAAAAAGCCCAATGCACAATGCAGACATGGGCACCTCTGACAGAGAATTACCTGGGACAGAATCAGGACTTAAAGTCGATACACACACACATACACACACACACACACACGTACACACATATCAGTGTGTGTGTGCTTATGTATATGTACACAAACACATAAATAGGTATATATGTATACATATACATATTATACACACAGACAGACATATCCTTTCTTCGCAGTGGTCAGGTGGAAATTAAACTCAGATTAAGGGCTGACTGGACTAACCTAAGGCATGTCCACAGACACTTAGGGGTTGGTCGAACATGGCCACTTTCAGTAATGACATAAAACTTTTGCTACCAACAAATAACTTTGAATGCTTTTGATATTGTAGTTCTATGAAGGCTATGGACAAACAGAATGTACAGCTGGATGTTCCTTGACGGTGCCAGGAGACTGGACAGCTGGTATGGTTGTACTTCTCATGATCTCTCTAATATTTTAGTTGATCAGAGATTTAGCTGGGGGACCCCCCCCCTGACTTCTATGTATATTGAGTCTTTGACCAAATAGTTTGTAGCCAGCTGAACTGTAAAGTGGCTGCTGTGACATCTGAAGTGAGTTATGCCAGTCTCGCTTTGTGGGCCTTAACTTCTCCCTACACTTGTGCCTTGAAGAAAGGGATGGGCCATCTCTCATCCTTGTCTTTCGCTCACTATGGAGCTCACTGAGTTATGTATGTGTAGGAAATTAAAGGAGCTTTGAGGGATGGCAGGTAGGGAACTTCCCAGGGTGAAAATCTAGTCTGCCAGATCACAACTCCTTGCACTTAGTAGAGCAGAGTTCTACTTCAAACTTAGCCTAAGGCTAAGTTGCCTAAGGTTAAGTGATCTACTCTGGGTGGTACAGTTAATCAAGTGTCAGACATACGACTTGGAAACTTTGGAGTCTTCCTGACTCTACCACAGCAGACCCCTTCTCATATATGCAGATGTACATACATGTGTATACATGTGGCATATATATGTACGAGGTTACATACAAATACATCCCTCAGTTATCATCATAGAGTATTTGTGTGTATGTACGCCTAATGTTTATGCATATGCATGTATATATGCATAGGGAAAGCGGAATAAATGTGTTGAATATTGTTGAATACAAAATATTCATGGTCTTATTGACCCTCAAAGATTACTTCTCAAAAAACTAAATCAGTTATCTAGTAAGTGCTCTGAAGTTATAAACACAAACTTAGGATTTTTTAACGTGGTATCTGGTTAGGTTTTTTTAGTCTTTTGGTCAAGTTATTGGCCTTCCACAAAACATTCTAAATGTCTAGCCCAGAAAGGTTTGCAAAGGGGCTTCCAGCTCCTCCAGTTCTAGACCTGAAGCTGTTTTTTGTGTAGGGGGAGAGGTTGTAAATATAGACGTTTTGAGTTGGAAGAGCAGCTTTTAGCTTAGAGAGGATGTGAGTTCTAACCTCCACATTTTACAAATGAGGAACTGAGGCCAGAGGTTAAGTGACGTGTCCAAGGTCACATAGCCAGTATCTGGTCTTCCTGACTTTGAGGTCAGCATAGTCTCTATTATACTACAACAGAATACGTACATACATATACACATATATACAAAACATTCTTGAAAATGTATGTTTATGTGTGTGTATAAAATTTATGTATACACAGTGTGTGTGTTTGTGTGTGTGTGATCTCCTAGGTTATAGGCTCTTCAAGAGCAGGGACTATGTCTTTTAAATTTTTCTCTCTCCCTCAGTGCTTAGCATAATGAATTATGCTTTTTCTTTTTTCAGCCCATGACCTAATCGTATAAAGGAAGTCCCTGATCTGGAAACTCCTACCTATACTGATTAGCAACTAATTTATAACTTAGAGCTTTAGAGAGTTACCCAGGAAAACAGATGTTCAGTGACTTGTCTATGGTCATACACAGCATGGCAGCATTTGAAAAACAAGATTTCTGATCCTGGGGCCCATGAACTTTTTAAATGAATGAATGAATGCTATTCAACAAACAAATAAATAAATAAATAAATAACTGTTTCAGTATAATTAATCTCCTTTGTAATTTTGTGTATTTTTCTTTATACACTTAAACATTACTCTGAGAAGGGGGTCCAGAGGTTTCACTAGACTGCCAAAGGGGTTTGTGACCCAAAAAAAGATGAAGAACCTCTGATCTAATGCCACACCCCTCCTAGCTTTACTAATTACTATAGTGGACCCTTAATAAATGTGTTGGGCAGCTAGGTGGTGAAGTGGATAGAGTGCCAGGCTTGGAGTTAGGAAGACTCATCCTTCTGAGTTCAAATCTGGCCTCAGACACTTACTAGCTGTGTGATCCTGGGCAAGTCACTTAACCCTATTTGCCTCAGTTTCCTCATCTGTAGAATAAGCTGGAGAAGAAAATGGCAAATCACTCCAGTATCTCTGCCAAGAAAATCCCAAATAGGGTTTCAAAGAGTCAGCCACAACTGAAATAACCAAACAACACTAAATGTGTTGATTGAATGTTGTTGAATGCAAGTTCTTGAGCCAGGTGCCAAGGGGATGGTGGCCAGTCCCAGATGAGTGATCATTATTTCATTTGGTATATAGGCCACGTTGGTGCTCCAATGCCTTGCAATCTTATAAAGCTTGTTGATGTAGAAGAAATGAATTATTTGGCTGCCAAGGGAGAAGGAGAGGTGAGTAAATTTGTACTGACTGTTCATCCCTTGTCTCCTTTCATCATTCCTGACTTTCAAGAGAAGACAGCTGCATGTCGGAACTTTTAGGTTTAATCCAATTGAGGATTCTAGAGTGAAACACTTAAGATTGTTTTCTTTTTTTTAATTTTGATTTATCAACAGTCACTTCCATATGCTTTTGAGTTTAAAATTTTTCTCACCCTTCCCAAGACGGCACACAATCTGATATAGGCTATACATTTACATTCCTATTAAACATATTTTCACATTAGTGATGTTGTAAGTAAAAATTAAAACCAATAGGGGGAACTATCAGAAAGAGGAAACAAAACTCAACAGAAGAGAAAAAAAAAAGATAGCAATTCAACTTCCATAGTTCTTTCTTTGGATGTGGATAGCATTTTCTATTACGAGGCCTCTGGAGATATCTTAGATCCTTGTATTGCTGGGAAAGGTTAAGTTTATCAATATTAGTCATCGCACAACGTGGCTGTTGTTGTGTACAACGTTCTCTTGGTTCTGCTCCCTTCACTCAGCATCAGACCATACAAGTCTTCCCAGGCTTTTCTGAAGTCAGCCTGTTTATCATTTCTTATAGCATAATAGTATTCCATTACATTCATATACCACAACTTGCTCAGCTGTTCCCCAATTGGTGGGCATCCTCTCAATTTCCAATTCTTTGCCACCACAAAAAGAGCTGCTGTGAATGTTTTTGTACATGTGGGTCCTTTTCCCATTTGTATGATGTCTTTGGGATGCCTTTGCTTTTAAATTAGTAGGAGGGAGACACTGTGGGTATCGAGGAGAAAAGCTATGCAGTGATGGCTCTGTTCTTCCCTGTGAGGCAGCAGGAGAAGAGCTGGACCCAGGGGCTTGTAGAGCCTGGAGGCCTCCAGCGTATTGTCCTTGGAGCCTAGGTCCTAATTGTCCTAGGTACCAATTAATGAATTTCTTACAGATTAAGTAATGAGATCCTAATGACCTAAAAGTACTTTCTTGGGAATTTGGGGCCAGGAGTGAGTCAAGGACTAACTACCCTTAGCCCTAAGCATTATGACCAGAGCCTACCCAGCAGCTTATCTGTTACTGCTTCCAGCCAGGGCTGGTAGCAGGGAAGATGGGACCCCAAGATCCGAGGTTGGCCTGATCTCCTTGTAAAGTACTTCTCTGGCTTTGGAGTAGGCAACAGAGTAAAAACTTCCAGCTGTTGTGAAAAACATTTTTTTTCCTTTTCAGAAAAGTCTTATTAAATCTCATGAGTTCAGCTTTATCTCTGCTTTAGTAATTCAAATTATGGCATTAATGGTATGAAAATCCCCCTTTTCTCAGATATGTGTGAAAGGGCCAAATGTATTTAAGGGCTATTTGAAGGACCCAGCAAAAACAGCAGAAGCTCTGGATAAGGATGGCTGGCTGCACACAGGAGATATTGGGAAATGGTTACCAGTAAGTAAATCTCTCCTCTATTCTCTAATATTTTACTCCAAAATGAGGTGGGGCAGGGCAGAATCTGCTGGGTAATCATCATTCATCTCATGTTTATCACCCATTCCTGTCCCCGTTGAATCCTCCCTTATAACAAATGGAAAGAGTGAAACAAAAATAGCCAATATATCTGAGAATGTATGCTACATTCTGCCCCTTTAATCTCTCTTTCTCACATGTTTCATTTTCTATTCTCCAGGGCCAAGATTAATTATCACAATTATCTGGCTTCCTTTTAGGGCTCTTTTTACTTACATTTTATAATCATTTTCTGGTTCCCATTTTTCTGAGCATCAGTTCACATAAATCTCCTCGTGTTTCTCAGAATTCTTCACAGTCGTCATTTCTTACAGTACAGTAATATTCCATTACGTTCATATGCCACAGTGTGTTCAGTCATTTCCTAAATTGATAGGCATTCAGTTTGTTCCCAGGTATTTGCTACCACAGAAAGGCTGGTATGAATATTTTGGCATATACTGCACCTTTCATTCTGTTTTGAACTCCTTGGGGTATGTGGCCAGTAATAATAAAAATAATAATGATGGGGATGATGACTAACATTTATATGTGCCAGGCTCTGTGCTTGTCACTTTCAGCACTGTGGTTTGATCCTCACAACAACCCTGAGAGGTAGGTGGCAGTTTTGCCCCTCTTTTACAGATGAGGAAACTGAGACAAACGGCAATGAGGTTACTGGGCCAAAGGGTATTAAAGCTTGAGTCACTTTTTTCTTCCAAAATTCCAAATTTTATCCCGAATGATTGGACCAATCCACAGTTCCAGCTACAGTTCATCAACACACCTGTGTTTTCCCACAGCCCATCCAACAGAGATCATTTCTGCTTTTTGATGTCTTTGTTGATTTGCTGATTAAGTTTGAGGTCAGAGTGAAGGTTTTAATGTGTGTTCCTCTTATTGGTGATTGGGGGCACATTTTTGGATGGTAATCCTTCTGAAAACTTCATCACCTTTGACCACTTTTTCTGTTGGGGAATAACTTGTGGTTCTCTGTGTGTGTGTGTGTGTGTGTGTGTGTGTGTGTGTGTGTGTGTGTGTGTGTGTATAATCTTAATCTTAATATTTCTTTGGGGAAAGAGTTTGGGCAAATAACTTCATTGATGTTGGGAACTCTTGGCCAGTAAGTTCCCCCATCAGTGCAGATCACTTGAGTGTTCTGCATCTCACACTCTTAGGGGGTTTCTTTCGGGGGCACTGAGATTTATCCCACATCACATAGTGTCCAAGGAAAGACTTGAACCCAGCTCTTTCTGACTCTAAGGCCCTCTCTTATTATGTCACACAACTTCTCACTTCTTTGTATCAACAGAGGTGAAATGTATTTTTATAGAATGCTTGTTGTCCTGCTTTAACTACATTCCTGTGATCCTTCTTATTGACACTTGGGGTTGTCATAAAGTGAAGGGACCTAGGGGAAGAAATATTTTTCAGAATGGCCAGAGGTATGGGCAGCAAGAAATACGAGGTTACTCATCCTTTTAAAGGTAGTGAAGGTGCTTCACAGAGCAGGCTAGTTGGCTCTTTCCTGACTTTATCTAAGAAGTATTGGGTATAAGACACATTCTAGAAGCCTGATGATGGTGATGAAGCCACCCATCTATTGCCAGAGAAGAGTACTCTGATCCAGATATAAGATGGATTAAATTGTGGGTTCTGCTCCTGGCTCCATCCCCAACTGTAGCTATATAACCATGGACAAGTCAGCATCTCTAGATCTCATTTTCCTCATCTGTACGGTGAGGTAAGGGATGTAAGGTTGGGGGCTAGGGCAGGGAAACAAACACCTAGACTGAGGTGTTAAAACTCTCGGCCCATAGGCCGCATAGCACTTCTGAATGTGGCCTGAGCTGGATTAAAATGTAATTGGGAAATATTTAACAAACTAAATAAAGATACAATAAAATATGGATAATGTTAATTTATGGCTTCATAAGTCAGTGAGTGGTCCACAGGGATCCTTATGTATGGTTTAGTGGCTTCTGGTTGAGTTTGGCACTGCTGGTAATAGTAGACAGCAGGCTGATCCTGGAATCAGGAAGACATGGGTTCTAGTGCCACCTGACTCTGGCAAGCGATGCACAGATGAGTCAGTCAACCTCTCTGGTCTCAGTTTCCTCATCTGTAAAATGAAGGGATCGTTCTAGATTGCTTCTAAGGTCTTTTCTAGTTCTAGAACTGTGATATTCTCCGTTCTTCCAGTTCTAAGATTATGTAACTGTTCTCTCTGATTCTCTAAATAGTGTATTTGGGAATTTAAGACAGAATAGCTTCGGGAGATGTAAAAAGAAGAGGCCTTGTCATCGGCCCTCTTCTTGTAGTTGAGGTCAGGCATCCCCTTTATGGCTAGAGTACTTGGAGCTCTTGATATCTGATCCTGAAACCTCATGTTAAATTGGATATGGAAATCATGACTCCTCTTCCCCTCAGGCCCTGGAATCAGATGGGCCAGTATTGACTCAGTAGATGTGCTCGAGTCGAATACAGATGAGAGGATAGTAATGCTGCTAAATTGTGGCAAGGGGCTAGTGGTTTCCATGTCAGAGCTCTCTCTTTCGTGGGTGCAAATCCTCTTCTTTCTTCTCTCCTATCCAGAATGGTACCTTGAAGATCATTGACAGGAAAAAACATATATTCAAACTGGCACAAGGAGAATACATAGCGCCTGAAAAAATCGAAAACATCTACCAGCGAAGTGAGCCTGTTGCTCAGGTGTTTGTACATGGGGAAAGCTTACAGGTGTGTTCTCTGAGCCGCCATATTTGTGTTTTAATGCCTACAGCTACGAAGCAGTGGGAGCAAAACAGCCGCTAAGGCTCTTCTATACTTCATTTACAGTTAAGTCAGGGGCAAAAATGGACGCTTGGATTGTATTAAGCCCAGGAATCTAAAATGCTCAGCACCAGCCTTTGGAAGCCTGCCTCCTGAGTGATTAATGGGCAGGTGTGACAAGGCCTCCTGAAAGCTGATTCTCTATCAGCTTTACACCAAAGCCCTCAATAAGCAGAGGGATTGAAGAGGAACGGTTAACCGGGTCACAGTTTTTTGTGAGAAGTAGGAAGGGTTTGAACACTGTCTCTGCAGATCATTGCCCAATGGGGCTTTGAGCCTTCACTCACAGTCAATACCATTGATAAAATCAGTGCTTCCTCAGCAAAGATCTTGTCATTCAGAAATAAAAGTGGGGATTTCCTTTAGATTCAAGTAAATTGAGGTTTTAGTAGCATTCTGTTAGCGTGTATGGTTCGGGATTCTCCCATACCATCATGGATGCTCAGGGACTCCCGGACAAGGTATGATTGTAATTGATTTGTGTTATGTGTGTGTTAAAGGCATTCCTCATAGCTATAGTGGTACCAGATGTGGAGACACTGGCTCCCTGGGCCAAAAACAAGGGCTTCAGTGGATCCCATGCAGACTTGTGCAAAAATAAGGTAAGCATATAACAATGATAATGATAATAGCTAACACATATAGCATTCATTGTATGCCAGGCACTGTGCTAAGCACATTACAAATATTATCTCATTTGACTCTTCCAACAACCCTGTGATATAGGTACTATTAATATCCCCATTTCATAGTTGAGGAGACTGAGACAAGCAGAAGTTAATTAACTTGCCCAGGGTCACACAGCTAGTAAGTGTCTGAGGCTGAATTTGAACTCGAGACTTCCTGACTCCAGGGCTAGAGCTCTATCCTCTCTACCGCCTAGCTGCCGTGGTCCAACAGAGCTAGGTTCATGCCCCATCCTACCTCCCCCATTTTGTTTTAGATACTCTTGTTTTAAAAATGCAGTTTTTATACTTTGCCTGCTCCTTTGCCGAGGTGGAGCGCCTTGCATGTGAAACATTACACATAAAAAAATATCTGATGTTGTATGTAATTAGTTTTACTGAAGTATTTCTTCTTTTTTTTAAAAAAATTCATTTATATAGGGATTTTTCACATATAATATATATATGTTACACACATATTTGTTATAAGGGATTGCTTTCTAGGAGGGGGATGGGAAGGAAACAATCATTTATTAAACACCTACTATGTGCAAGACACTGTGATCCTCATTTGATCCTCACAACAACCTTTCCAGGTAGGTGCATTTTACAGTGGAAAGAAATTGAGGTTAGGTGACTTGACCAGGGTCGCACAGTTAGTAAGTATCTGAGGCTGGATTTGAACTTAGGTCTTGTGGATAGAGCCAGCTAACTGGCTAGGGAAACGGGGAATCTAGGGCAAGGTAAAGACGAGTGATAGCAATGCAAATATTTTTAATACAGTCTTTATTTTGTTGCCTTAATAGGATGTCAAAAAAGCAATCCTTGAAGACATGGTGAGGCTCGGGAAAGAGGCCGGTCTGAAGACTTTTGAGCAGGTGAGGCTTGAGTAAAGGTTTCTGACTCTGCCTTTGGAGGTTTTGCTCCAGATGTCATTACATAAGATTGGATTTTGTAATGAAGGCTTTATTGAATTAAATTAATAACAGTGGCTGTGAATTAGTTACCCGGTAACATTGCAGAATCTTTTGGAACCTCCAAAAAGATTAGTTACTACCCTCCATCTAAGACAGAAATACTTTTTTTTTAATTAATTAATTTAATTTTAGTTTTCATTAATCACTTCCATAAGCTTTTAAGTTTTAAATTTCTCTCCCTTCCTCCTCACCTCCCTTCATAAGACAGCATGCAATCATAGGCTCTACATGTACATGCTTATGAAACACATCTAAGACAGAAATTCTTAACGTTTTTGTGTCCTGGGCCACTCTGGTGTCTGGTGAAGCCTGTGGACCCCTTCTCAGAGTCATGTTTTCAAATGACAGAGTAAAATACACAGGATTATGAAAGGAAACCAGTTGTCCAGGGTATCTCCAAAGCCTTGATGTGATTTAAAACTCCTTAATAAAGGGTCCACAATTTGAGAGCTTTAAATTCTACTAAGACCCTCTGTGGAACCATAGTTATCAAAATATTAAAAATGCAAGTTCATGGATCTCAGGTGAAGAATCCCTGGTCTAAGACAATCAGGTATAGCACCCCCTGGAGAAAGAAGAATGAACTACCCATGTAGCTGGTAGCACAGTGGCTAGTGAAGCCACTTCATTCAGGAAGTGAAGTGAATAATTGTTGTTGTTTGCTCTGCATTGGACAAGTGGCTTTAGCTGCCCCCTCATTGCTTTTGTTATTTCTTATTTCCAGGTCAAAGGCATTGCTCTCCACTTGGAATTATTTAGTGTGGAGAATGGCCTTCTGACCCCAACACTGAAGGCAAAGAGACCAGATCTCCGGAAATATTTCAGGTCACAGATTGATGAACTCTATTCTACTATTAAGATTTAATATTGAGGAAGATAGCTTGGACAAAACATAACCGCACACCTCTAAAAGATCTACTTCTACTGTTGGCCTTCATATTGGTAATTTTGACTACAGCAAACATAGGGAAGGAGGCTTGTTTGGACGGGGTTCTTGACATAGGAATTTTGAAGGAAACAGAACACTGCCTTACTGTCACCTTGTGTTGCTGACCATTTTGTGGTGATACACAATTTCCAAAATGAGCCTTAAATTGTACAGGGCGACTATATACCTGATAAGTTATTTGGGACTTCCTCAGCCCAAAAGGACGGTGTTGACTCTTCTCTTCTGACCTTAACCAAGGAACTAGGGCTTCCCTGTTTCTGAAAGGTCGGATGTTTGATACGTTCTCTGCGGTTGTCTACTCCAAAGGGTACATGGTACACTAGAGGCAAAGAATCCTTTTAAAAATGACAAACACACACACAGCAGTGGGGTATACCATAATTCATCCAAATATTATTTAAGCCCCTTTTTCTCACCCTTATTTGAATGAGGGTTATGGAACTTTCTCTCCCTTATGCCCTACCCCCAGGGTCACCCCAACCCAGATAAGAAGGAAATATCTGAACTTTACTGTTTTGAGGTTATGGTTCACTGTAAATCAGGACAAGTGCAACTGAGCAGATTTGGGGTCACATATGAATGTCCTACAGAGTATGGACGTGAATGTAAAGCAGAAGGCCACCAACAGAGTGCTTTCCAGATCTCTCTCCTTCCCATCCCTCCCTCCAGTAACAAATCTGCCTTAGACTCGGCCACGAAGACAAGAATTTCAAGGATATACATGCCATCAGTGGCAGGCTCAGCGGGGATGACCTGATAACTGTACACCTTATCTCTACACTGCACTAGCCACTCTTTCTGTATAATGGCCAACGGGTTTTTAATGTAGTTTTCAAATCAGAATACCATGCTGTGATTCTTTTTTTTTTTTTCATTTCCCAGAATAAACCGTCTTGTACCAAACATATCACTTCAGAGGACAGAGGGAATGCATATACTTGAATACTTTTGTGTTGAAATGGAGGGAGTAATTGATAGGAATGGGCCCATCTCAGAATTCTACTCATGATTTCTGTAAAATGTGTTCAACAAGCCAGAATAAATGCTAATTAATGGGGGGATATATAAATCTGGGGGCAAAAAAACCACAATTTTTCCTAGGAGTAACTCCTGAGGGGCTTTTATTCTAATTGGGGAAATTGGCACAATTTCAATTATTACAGGTCTTGGCCACATTTGAATGAATTAAGTTGTCATTTAAAGTGATTCTGTTTCTGTTTTTTGGATACATGGGATTATATGTAATATTCAAGCACAATAAAGTTTGCACTAAAGAGATGTCATTGTAATAACACTACTTGGTAGCCTAACTTCATAATGTGTGCTCTTAATTGCACAAATATCTAAGTCGGTAATTTGTCACATTGGAGTTTTGGATGTTTGCTTTCAGTGTTGGCTATTTCTATGTTTTATAAACCAAAACAGAATTTCCAAAAAATAACAAAGGAAACCAAAATAAATATTTCTGCATTTCATGTGAGTGAAGTGTCTTTTTTTTTTTTTTGCTCTAATGTCATAGTTGCTCTAAAGAGGCATGATAGGGAGGCCTTCCCCTCTCCACTTTAGTGAGTTGTATGCCCACTATAATTTTTTCCATTCTCATTGACCATTAACAGCTTTATGACACTTAGAATAACTGACCTTGACATCTGGTCATAATGTCATTGGCAAAGACCTAACATATGTTGAACAAAAAATAGCAAGTGTCGGTCTGAAAAATGGCAAATATTTTATTACAATGTTGTTTCCCCCAAGATGGCGTTTTGTTGGGATTGGTTGACAAAGCATGCCTTTGGTGCTTTGCTCTTGGTGGCTATCAAAGTGGTAACAATGCCCTTTCTTCTCCCTTCCCTTCCCTTCAGTTACTTTTTATTTTTATGCTTTTGATTATGTTTGTCCACTCCTGGTTTCTCTCCAATAGCCTCTCCTCTTCTTCCTGTTACTTATTTATAGCCTCTTTGAATGTTTATTTTTGTTGGGCAGTGACACTCTCATTAACAATTCCATGGGGGACCAAGCTTTCCTTGTGATGAAGGAGGTTTTTTTTAAAACTTCATAAGTCATGCAGAGCTGGGCAGGGACATATGGTACATCTCAGCAGCCATGTTCCCACTGCTGTGCTCTTGGACAGTTAGTGTAGAGGAAAGAAATACCTTCCCAGGAAACCTTTGTTCTTTAGTTTGAATTTGGGGTACAACAGAAGCAGCTCTGAGAAGGATTACACACTGTCCCCAGCTTCTGTTGCTGTGTTTTTCCTTCTGTTCTTTAAATACCTAGGTACTAAGTCATTCTGCTCTGTAACCACTTCTAGGCTCAGATCTTTTCTGCTAGCCGTCATTTATATTCATTTCAGTGATTTTGTGGGAATGACTCTTGGAACAGGACTTCTTAACTTCAGGTCTGTGAACTTTTTTTTTCAGTAATTGTATTTCAGTATGTTCAGTGTTCTTTGTCATTCTATGTGTTTTATCTTATGTACTTTATAACATTATTTAGAGAAAAGGTCCATATGTTTCATGTGACTGCCAAAGCATCTGCCACAAAAGCTTCAAAAATCCCTCCTGTGAAATGGACATTTTTAAAGGAGTTAAAGGAGTTGTCGTTCAGTTGTTTTAGCCCTGTCCAACTTGTCTTAACCCCATTTGGGGATTTCTCGGCAGAGATACTGGAGTGGTTTGCCATTTCTTTCTGCCAGCTTATTTTACAGGTGAGGAAATCGAGGCAAACAAGGTTAAGTGATTTGCCCAGGGTCACACAACTAGTAAGTGTCTGAGGACAAATTTGAAGTTAGGAAGATGAGTCTTTCTGACTCCAGGCCCAGCACTCTATCTATTATGCAACCTAGCTGCCCTAAAGGAATTGTAGGGGGTCAGCAACACACGTGGATTCATACGGCTGAATTTGGATCTACACCCAGAAAATTATCATCCTCTACATATCCTTTAACTCAGCTACACTGCTTCCAGGACTCTACTTCCAAAGACATCAAAGAAAGTAGAAAAGCATCTATATGTGTAAAACCTTTATAGTGATTCTTTTCATGGTAGGCAAAATTGGAAGCTAAGGGGGTGTCCATCTATTGGGGAATGGCTAAACAAATTGTGGTATAGAAATGGAATAGGATATTATAGTGCCATAAGGAATAATTGAAGAGAAGTTTCAGGAAAAACTAGGAAGACCGTTATGAACTGATAGAATGCCAGGCCTGGAGTCAGGAAGATTCATCTACATGAGTTCAAACCTGGCCTCAGACGCCTACCATCTGTGTGGCCCTGGGCAAGTCACTTAACCCATTTGCCTTGTTTCTTCATCTGTAAAATGAGCTGGAGAAGGCAATGACAAGCCTCTCCAGTATCTTTGCCAAGAAAACCCCAAGTGGAGTCATGAAGAGTCGAATACAACTAAAAAACTAGAAGAACAATTTATACAATGATAACATTTTAGAGAAAAACAACTTTGAAAGACTGTAGAGCTCAACACAATGATAAAACATGAGTGTGAAAAAATAAAGATGAATACACCATTTGTCTCTTGCATTTTTGGACATGACTGGGGGAATTTATTTTGCAGAACTACAAACCTATGTATTGGCAGCTTTATTTTTTGTGGGGTTTTTTAATTTGCTCAGGGCGGGAAGAGAGATATTGAAGGGGGCTTTTAAAATGCTTGCTAATTGAAATTTATTATTCGTATGGTAGGTTTAGAGCTGGAAGGGACCTTAGAAATCATTCATTTAGTCTAACCCCCTTATGAATTAGGAAATTGAGGCTCAGAGAGGTTAAACAATTTCCTAAAGGCCAAATGAGCTGCTGTTTCAACCCAGATCCTCCCACTTTAAATTTTTCTAAACTTTGCTCTTACCTCCTAGCCCACAGCCTGAGGCAGGAATTAATACCATCATCTTAAGGCTATTTGGTGGTAGTAAGTGTGAATGACAGAGTAAGCCAGATCGAAGGAAAGGAGGGTAGTTAGGTGAGTTGGATAGAGTATGGAACTTGGAGCCAGAAAAGTGCCCCAGAGCATGGAAGACTTTCTCAGAGTGGAACACTAACGTTGGAAAATGGATCTATGAACTCTCCAATGTGGTTACTTTTCTCCAGGGATGCAGATGGCAACAACACTCCACCCCTTCGCCCCCACCATGCCTGCCCATACTACTCTTTTTTTTTTTAAATTTATCAACAATCACTTCTATAAGCTTTTGAGTTTTAAACTTTTCTCCCCCTCCCGCCCTCCCTACCTCCCTCCCCAAGATGGCATGCAATCTAATATAGGCTATACATATACATTCCTATTAAACATATTTTCACATTAGTGATGTTGTGAGTAAGAATTAGAGCCAATAGGAGGAACCACCAGAAAGAGGAAACAAAACATAACAGAAGAAAAAAATAGCAAATAGTATGCATCAATCTGCATTCAAACTCCATAGTTCTTTCTCTGGATGCAGATAGCTTTTTCCATCATGAGGCTTTTGGAGATGTGTTAGATCCTTGTATTGCTGAGAGGGGTTAAGTCTATCAAAGTCAGTCATCACTCAATGTGGCTGTCACTGTGTACAGCGTTCTCCTGGTTCTACTCACTTCACTCAGCATCAAACCGTACAAATCTTTCTAGGTTTATCTGAAGTCTCCCTGTTCATCATTTCTTATAGCACAATAATATTCCATTACATTCATATATCACATTCACAATTGTGATTACTGTGTCTTTCTCTCCATCCTTCCCCCCCATTTATGTTTTTTCTTTTTCCTTTCTCCTTTTCCCTGCTCACTAATGTTTTGCTTTTGACCACTGCCTCCCTCAGTTCTACCTCCCTTCTATCAGCCTCCTCCTTTTTCTTTCCCCTTTTCCCTCCTACTGCCTATAGGGCATGTTAGATTTCCATACCTGAGGTATGGATGTAATGTGATGTAATTTACCCCTGTCTGCCTCCTTTCCTTTTCTCTCAGTACATTTTCTTAGTTAGATCAGATTAATTCACTTACTTGGATCCATTTAACCTACTTGATTAGATTTTTTTTTATCATTACATCAAAGTCAATTTATATCCACCCGTTTTATGTATACCCCTTTAACATGGTATAATAACAATACAATTCTCA